CCTAACCCCCTAACCCTAACCCCCTAACCCTAACCCCCTATACCTAACCCCCAAAAACCTGCCCCCAAAAACCTGCCCCCTAACCTGCCCCCTAACCCCCATTAGGAGATGGGGCCAGTGGGATTTGAACCCACAACCTAATGGGTGGGCAGATTCTGGGGCCAGTGCAAACCATTGAACTACAGAGACTTTGTCTCTGGTTTTGATTTTGGAAATCTAGTCTGCTGGGTGAGCCAGCTCAGAGCAGCTCACCCAGCCCAGCAGAAGCTTCGGCTTCAAGCGGAAGATGTTGCCGGTTTTTTCTTCGGCTTGAAGCCGAAGAATTTAATTGACACAGGTGAACATTTCAACGGTTCGGCAAAATAAACTTTGCATTCGGGTAAACTGCGACGCGTCGGAGGTGTCTTGAGGAAATCTCGTCCTTTCAATTCTATACCTTGAGATCTGGCAAGTTTCGTCTGGATGGACCGGGCCATCATCATCTACCGGGAGTTACCAGTTCACCAGAGTTCAGCTCACAAATTGCCACTTGTAATAATTATATCTTGATGGACATCTAGCCACGCGACTCAGCTATCTTTGGGAAAGCAGCAACTTGAATCCTGGCGGCCAATGTCGAACCACAAGAATTTGCCGTTGAAATGGGTGTCCTCCTTCGCCCGAAGCCCTTCTTTCCAGCTGAGAGTTTTATTATTGAGCTCCGCCGTAGTTTTCGCAACACGTCCTATGTTTGATTTGAATGAGCCGGCGGCAGAGAGCTGGGAAGAAGTGACATCGTACACAGACCCGACGACTACGCATCCCACTTCGGCCGTCACTTCAGACATGCCATCGAACAAACGAAACTCTAACCAAGTCCAACTTTCTAGCTTGAGCCCCCCTCGAATCCGTCCTTGTATATTGCACGCGCATGACGGCCCTTCAAGCTCAGGTGAAGTACCGCTTGGTATGTTAACGTTAGAAAGATGACGGCGGTGATACTGAAGCCTCCGGGAGATATTATCTTCGTTGAACCAGAATTTACAGCCCAGAGTAAACTTAATCAGAGCCCCTCTGAGGGGCAACAATCGACCGCCGTGAATGATGCGATCGATGGAAGTGGAACAAGCCACGTTCCCATTGCTAGGGACCACCTTGGGGGTTAGTGCAGCTCATCTTGAGGAATATTTGAGCTGATTGGCTGACAATCATATCTGTTTCAACAGCTAGTCAAGCATCCGGTAGTGGTTCAAAAGTGGTTCAATCGTCGGCTCGCATCGACGTTGATACGTCGGAGACCGATTCGCTACTTGCCATCGAGAAGACACAGTCGGCAAAATCCCCCGCTTATGGTTATTTTTTACCATATGGTCAAGTTGTGGAAGAACTTCTCAACAAACACAGTATTGCATTTCGTAAGCAAATCAAGTACTTGCAAGCACGCGCGTCTCTAGGCGACGCTGCCACGTCGAAACCATCGTCCCGGCTTAGCCGTAAAAACAGAATCGGTGGTGAAAGGATCGCAATGCGAAGTGATTCATTAAAGGATCCGATGCCGAAAACAGAGGAGCTATCATGGCTATACAATCGTTTGGCAACATTAATGTACAAGCTTCACGTGGAATTTTTGAGCCTCTTCGACGTATCAACATTTGATCACAGAATACAACAAGAAAGATTATTAGATTGGCTAGACAAACAAATCCTCAATCCTGATAACAGTCAATCAGTATTGAAGCTCATGAAAGAAACAGAGTTCAATTGTGCATCAGATGATCCGGAGACAAATATTGATGATATTCAACTAAAATTGATCAAGTACTTTTCACAAGAACGCTCTGGAGCACATTTGACTCTGCATCATACCGCTTCCCATCTGCTGAACGCCTTCCGAGACCAACATGGAAGTGAGTGAATCTGTGTCTAATAGGTGGATTGGAAGCAGGTTACCCAGCCAGGTACTGATAGTTATATAAATCGGAACAATGTGACTGATTGATTTGCACGGAAACCTTGCATGGACATTCAGACGAATACTCAACATGGAGAGAATGTAATATTCCACCGATTGATCGAGAAGACCCGAATGGACTGTGGATAAAGCCAGACTTCCAAGAAATCTTGAAATCACTATCATTCCAGGCCTTGAACTCATCACGATATCAAAAAGCGGTGGATAGTAAACCAAACTTACTCGAGCGAAAATATGAACTATTTTCAAATTACTTTTGCGAGTTTGAAATTCAATTTCATAAAGCGGAGTTTTGCCCACCATGTATCAGGAGTTATCATTCAAGACTACCAATAGCCACATTCTTCTGCAACAAACCAGATGGACATCAAGCTGTGAGAATCATAAATCCACAAGATGGAACACCATTTAGGTTTGCCTACATGCTACCAAAATTCAAGAAATTGTTGAAATCAGTAGATTACTTACACATCAAAGCTCTCAATAAATTAAAGATAAAAGGTCTAATATCCAATGATAGGAGAAAAGAATTGTTTGAATGGGTTTTAAACTCAATAATGAATCCAAAAATTGGGATTCCCCTGATAGGAAAAATCAAGTTGAATAAGGATATTGCTCCATGGTATGACCAAGAATATAAAGATTTCATATTCCTTGAAGAGCATCAATTGAAAATGCTTAGATACTTCTCAAAAGATCAAACTAATGAAAATCTATTGAAACTCTCAGTGTTGATGGTAGCCACTTGGTATCATCATACTCATCCAAAGGAATACATCTCTCTATCAAAGATAGCTTCAGTTGAAAATGCACATTTTCAACAATAAGATAATGTTTTTTTATTTTATTCATTTACACAAAATTATTTTAGGAATATGAAGTTTCACAATTTCACTCAATTTTTCTTGAATGTTAGGTTTCTGTATTTTTTTCTGTATTTACATTCAATTAATAAAAGAATTCATATTATAATCTTTCAACCCTCTAATTGTAAGGTATTGAAAGAAAACTCATGTCTTGTTTGGAAAAACAAATGGGAGTAAATCAGCTCTGAAGAGTAACTTGAATCTTATTTTCAAGGTGATTCTTATAAGGGGGCCTCATTTGTGCCCTTTGCAATAATTTTCAAATGTGTAATGAGATGAAGTCTGGAAATTCCATATCCCTCTATGCATGAAACCACCATGATCTCCAAAGAGAATTGTGTGCAGTGTCCACCATCCAATTCTTGATGGACAGTTGGGAGGTATAGCCATCATTTTCATTGGCCAGTAATGAACCATTGATTGAGAAAAGCACATCTACACCCAGGGAGGCCTTTTTTTCCGTGTGCAATTGTGTAAACAACAAAACTTGCCCAATATGTGGAATCCATGTGACTGGCTCTGAAGAATTTTGGTAAGAGCTTTTTCTTGTTGTTGGTTCCACATACCAAGTTTTTTTGTTTTTGGTTGCACAAACTGAGATCGAAGCTGGTTGGGAGCACGTGAGCTTGTTTCCCATTTCAGATGCTTGTTTCACTCACAATCAGTTTTTGAGTTTAAACCCGGACATTAACTATTAAAGAGGTTAATTCAGTTTGAACTCGCGTCATCGGCAGGCCTCTTTCCTTCCAAGTCATTTATCAAACTTCCACTTCATTCCCCTTCTTTCAACCAATCATTGATCTCTTATCAAATCAAAAATCAACCCAAGGTCAATACATCTTATTTGCTGATCAATCAAATCAAAAACAGATCTCAATTGTTGTTTACTTCAAGCACTCAGGAGGAGCTAGAATCAGCTTCTGGGCAGGTATTCAGTCTTATACATTCTCCTGGCTTGTAATCAGAATATTGACTGTTTCTTTTTATTCAATTTAACTAGGCTAGTTTTGCTAAACAATCCTGTGTGTATTGAGTTAACGTCGTTGTGAATTGTGTCAAGATTTTGTTACATTCTGCTCTAATCTATCAGGTATTTATTAATTGATTTTATTTCTTTATTATTATTTTTATGTTTCACATTTCTAATTGTTGGAATTGTGCTGTCTTTTCCACTCATCCCTAAAATAACCTTTTAAACTGTCTTTCTTTTTCCTTTCTAATCACTTTTCATGAGAACAGATTATAGTATTAAGTAGCATGTTTTTTAACTGACTGATCACACTTTTGTAGTCTACAAACCCTAAGGGCCTGTACCACATGATTGAATTTTGAAAAATGTCATTTTTTTATGTCTTCTACACAACCAAAAGGACAGAGATCTAGAGATGAAATGCTTGATTTTGGGCTTATGAATGGCCTTTGGTGATGGTCACTTTCAATTTTATCATAGTTTGAGGAAGATAAATTCTGACAAATTGTGAAAAATTGGATTTTCATGCCATATGGTACAGGCCCTAAGTAGTAGTTCTTTTTTGTCAACTCATGACTCTGAAATATCTTCTTCTTTTTTCTCATTATTGTGATTGTGGCATTCTGAATATTCATTATTCTAACCAAATTTTGATTGTCATGTATGTAGTCTATTTAACAAACTGATTACACATGATAATTAAAAACATCAGTTCTTTCCTTCATTTTTCAACCCTTGAACTGTTTCAACAAAAATCATTTTGTTGCCCAAAAAATACTTTCTTGAAAATTCTCTCTCTCTTTGGCCAAAAATTTCATCACTAATGTTGTTTTATTTTATTAAGTCTATTACTTCTACTGAGCTTCTATATATACTGTTTCAATAAAGTAATTGATTGCACCATTTTTAAATCAGTGCCCCCCAATGTGGAACCTGTCATTCTGAAAACTCAAGAAAAACAAGCTGGAAAAAACAAACTTTGCCAAAAAATTGTTATCCGTAGAATTTTCCTGGAATCAATTGCTGGGGTCTCTTTGATCCTAAATCAGGCCTAGACTGGAAGTTAATATGGGTGATTGGTCAGAAGTTGCTTGCATTCTTACCAATTTTACCTCTCAGGCACCTGGGTTTGAGCCCCCCCAGGGTCCATTGTTGGGGCCACTGCCATTTCTTTAATGTAAACCACCGCCTGGTGTCCACTGGGTGCATACAGGAGGCCTTAAAGATCCTTGGGAGAACCTCAGGATGGAGCTGTGGATCAATTGGTAGAGCCCATGGGAAACTGTGGACCATCAGGTCACAGTCCAACCTCCTGCAGTGGCCCCTCATGGTCTCCAAGGGCAAAGGTGGTATTGGCCCACATCAATTTCCCCCCAAGGTGTAAATTCAAACAAATACTAGCTCCTTTACCTGTAATGTGTAAAGTAAGAATATTGGTAGTTCCTCCTCCTGTAACATGTCAAGTAGAAATATTGTATTGATCTTTGGCTGCCATTGTTATTGTTAATCAAAATCACTGCATTGTGACAACAAGTAGTTTAAATGCCATTAAATTAAAATAACTACCCACTAGTATCAAAGGTTTGTTTTAAACTGGTCATCAAGAAACAAGAAGGAGACATCTGAAATATTGGTGATGCTACCAGACAAGTCAAGATTCAAACATTGAGAGAGGGTAATCCCAACCAAGATTTATGGTCCATTTATCAGAAGGGACTGGCTGAAACTTTTTGTGTACAGAAGTACAGTGAATTGTACTATATGTTGTATCAAGCCCGTCTGGGCACAATCACAATTCCTGCTTGGCCAAGTGCCACCAGGGCTTGGGAGTGTGCCCAGGGGGCTTGATTGGCCAGAATAGTCCGGGGCAGGAGTTAGCACATAGCCAAGTCCCACTGGGCTGATTGGTGGCTCAGGTGCTCCTGTGCACAAGCCCAGCATTGGCCCCCATGGTCAGAAGCTATAAGAGTGGGGAGAACCCCAGTGAGCCCGCCATCAGGAAGGGATTCCTTCTTTTTGGCCGGCATGCTGGCAGGCGTGGCACCCTTGCTTGGGCTTGGCCAAGTGAGGATTTGTCCTGACCCCCACCAACTTTGGCATGTGCCAAGCGGGGGCTGGGAGGGTGCCATGCGTGCTTTGGGATCAGCCAAGCGGGCTCTGGTATTGGCCCAGCGCTCTTGGCCCTTTTGGTTGAACTTGGGTGTGTGCCCAGACAGGCTTGATACACCATACAAAGTCTTGGGATTTCCAAAAGGTTGGGACACAAAATTTAGATTTTTTGCTTGTTTTTTTTTTTTGGGGGGGGGGGGTTGAGATGTCAATCTGGTGTCCCAGGGGTTGTCATTGACCCACCAAACAGACTTTTGAAAAAACAAACAAGCTTCAAGCTATTGTGCATGGGTTTTTGCTTACACTTGGTCATGTGAGTATAGGATTGAGCTCCCTCACAAACCCATAAATAAGTACTTAGGCCTCCATGTATGGCCTATGACCAAATGGTTGAGTGAAAAAGTTTTTTTTTGTCTGGACCAAATTGGTTTCCACTTTACTTCAGTACAATGCTGTACAGTACCACTGTGGTCACTGTGCATTGAATTAAGGCTGGGATAAACTCTGGTTAACACCATAAATTTAATTAGAATTTCTAGATGCCAATTGCACTCAGTTGGGCAATTTTCTCTTGCATGACAAATCAAATGGAATTAAAATGTACCCGTATATGGTGCAAATAGACACATGGAAGCATAGAAAAGTGAAAAAGAAGTATGTACAACCATGATTAAATATAATGTGGTGACAATCTCCATTGCACACATTCATTTTTTCCCGTAGTATCTCATTTCAAAATTTATCACATTGCCACATGGCTGAAACATGCTGAAATCAGGTTAGGAAAATAGAGTTTGTGTGAAATTATTTCAGTCTGGAAGCTGAAAAGGTTCAAGCTAAGAAACTGATTTGCCAGAGGGATTTGGAGAAAAGAGCCGGTGAATTTGAGAGGAATTGGGCAATGAGGGCTTTCCAGGGCTTGGAATTGAATACATTTTCCAGCTCAGAATCATCTATGAATCCCAGCTTACCAGGGCCCTTTTTTGAGAAAAAGCAAGGCCTGCTGTATCTACTCAATCTACACATCACGCAAATGCATTGAGTTTCAAAACCACAGTGTTTTACTGGAGGCAGGTCCCCTAATTGTCTCAAGTCATGGTGGTTATTGCACCACTTGACCCCGATGGCAATCTACCCCAAACAAACATTTTGCTATGATTACGACCACTATCCTTAAGTATGGTATCTTTCAATTGTTTTTATCATGGTGCTTCACAGTTAGTTGGGCAGCAGGCAGTCTTCCAGACTTGAACTTGCCGTTGCCAGGATGCTTGGAAGAGTCAGCCGCAGAGCCTACGAGTGCGTCCCATCCGATTTCAGGCACGATTTCTGAACTCTTCCCCAGAAAACGGAAATCCCCTTTGGATTTCAGCCCTCCTACAAGCCGTGCTTGTCTTTCTCATGCTCAGGATGGCCTCTTAATGCTAAGTAAGGCGCCTTTTGACTTGTCTAGATTCAACGCAAACTGACTGGGAGACTGGTGCTGTTGGGAAGCCTCGACTAACACAAGATTCACTGACCAAAGCGACTTCGCCGCGATTCACGCTGGAGGTGAAAAATCTACTGGTTTGGCGGTTGGATTTGGAATAGGGGAATCCATCACCGAGAGTAAACCGAGTCAATGTTAGTGCAACTAACTCTGGGTCTCCATGAAAGTTAATTCTATTGGCTTTTACTTACATCTATCTTATTCAACAGTTTCATCCAATCGCGGCCTGGATTTCATAAATTTATCGAAGCCCTTGGAACTTCTTCCGCCTCCGGCCAAATTACCAGTTAGGCCTCTCCTTCAAGAGGAATCCAAAAACCCAAACGAATCCGTCTATGGCCATTTTATATATGCAGGTCAAATCGTGGAAGAACTACTCAATAAACACAGTGTAATGTTTGAGCGAGAAATCAAGAATCTACGTTCTACAAACCAGATCATGAAAGATAAAGATCATCACCCATCCTTACCATTTTGCCGGGTCGATCGCGAAAAAGGGGAAAAGGGGAAAATTTTTAGGGTGATGGTCGCTTCAAAGGATCACTTGCAGATAATTGAGGAACTACCTTGGCGCTATAATCGCCTACTAACAGTATTATACAAGCTCCACCAAAATTATCTGAATGACCGCAACATAACGACATTCAATCAAAGAACACAACACGAAAACCTGTTAGGATGGCTATCAAGGCAAATATTTCGTCCTGATGACAGTGTTCCAGTATTTGGAATCGTCAATGAACCAAATCTTCCTTGGGAATCAGGCGATCCAAAAATAAGAATTGGGGCTTGTCAGATAGAATTGATAAATTTCTTCTCAAAGGATCGTTGTGATGTTCATGACATTTTGCAGCTTACAGCCTCTTATCTGTTAAGAGAGTACTATGCTCAAAATAAAAGTAAGAGAATCTATACTTATCGGGCAGTTTTGGTCTCATATCACTAAGTGATTACTTGGCATGGTAAATTTTGACCCTTGATCAGTTACATATTCGGCCTTGGTTCAACCTTCAGAGTATATTAGCGATGTGGAAATAGTAATATCGATGAAACCACATTTCCAAGAAATGTTGAAGGCTTTATCAGACATTATGGGATATTCGATACGATATCGGAAACTCTTGAATTATCGGATGCCAAAATTTGAACCTTTCTTGGATTTCTGCTCAAATTTTGAACTTCAGCTGCGTCAAACAGAGATCCGCGCGGGATGGCTGAGAAGCAATCATCCAAAATTACCAATTGTAATGTACTTTCCCAAAAAATCAGATAGCCATGGACATATCCGAATTATAGACCCAGAATGTGGCGATGCACTTGATTCCACACGTTTAAGCCCCAGATTCAAGAGATTCTTGAAATGGGTGGATCATTTGAATATAAAATCTTTGGGTAAGTTGGGAATAAGAGGGGAAAAATTAAACAAAATAAGAATTAAGATGTTTGAATGGATTCTTAAATCAATTGCACAGCCAACAATTGGCTTGCCACTCATTGGAACTTGCAAAATTGAAAAAGGTATTGCACCGTGGTTTGATCTGGCCTATGAAAGTCAGATTTTATTTGGAGAAATCCAATTAAAATTGATCAGATACTTCTCAGAATATCCAAATGATAAAGAATTGCAAACAATCACACCATTTATTCTAACCAGTTTTTATCATGATAATCTTCCAGATATATACAGATCTCTATGCAAGAAATTTCAAATAAAGAATGCATGCTATTCAATGCCACACCTTCTTTCAAAAATTGCATGATTGGGCACTTCAGAAAAACCTTCTAAGCAGCTGAACCCATGTCTCCATCACCTTTCATATTTTGGATTAATGTTTATCCAGCTCTTTTGTAAATCAAGATTGCCATGATGTTTCTCTAAGCCCATGGTCGTAGTTTTAGACACTGAGCTAATGCTATAGTTATGAGCTTATGGATGCCATCAAGCCATGTGTCCAATTGCTTGGCCTCTTTTTTGTCTGGGCACACTTACAAGGCAGATTTGGAAATTATGCACATACTCCAAAGATTTCAGAATTGTGTTTGGAGTGTGTAATTGACTCCTGTGAATGATAGCCCACATGGTCAGTAGCAAACAAGATTTTTTTAACCTTGTGTCTAGCTTAACAAAAGTCTCTTGATCAGGGGTTCAAGTATTAAGGTTATGACATTGATACTGTACATAGAGCAAGCCCGAATCTAGGCGCTTGCTACCCAATGCATAACACTGGCAGATCACAGTTGCTAGGAGATTGAATTGATAATTTTACGTCAAGAGAAAATGAATGTATTCACTTGATCCAAGCTGAAATAAGTTTACACCGAGTTATGAAACCTAGGCTGATGACACTGTGCCAATAAATCTGCAAGACAAGGAAGGCCTGGCGTTCTGGCAGACCATGCAGAGAGCTTTTGTTTGGGCATTTTGCCAACCTTCACCCCCAGGAATGGGCAAATTTTGAGACCATACTGCAAGCCCGTTGATTGGCGAGTTGTTTTGCAGGAATCGCGGTTTGCAACGGAGGCTCAGAAAAACCCATGCACTGGCTTGCCAATACCGGAAGCCCTCAAGGAAGGAGATTCAACTTCTCCAAATCCCTCCAGGCTCCAAGTAAGAGCTGTCCGGGTTGGGACGACGGAGCAAACTGACCGGTCAGCAAACTCATCAGCTCGATTGTGCTGAATTTTTGGCAAGCTTCAGCCCTCTGCTTTGTGATTGGGGTGTTGAGCCTGAGAGATCTGAGATTGTCTCCCATTTCTTTGGGATGCAATCTGCATACTCAGGGATCATCTCCATAAGACCATCTCCACCCCAAAGAGGCATCCGAGTTGGTATACTTACCAGCTCAGGAGCTGCGGCGTGCGGATAGCAACCCTGGGAAAAATTATTTTCCACCGCAGGTTGCTATCCTCAATGCCTCGCGCGTGAAAGGCTAGTTGATAGGGGGGGGGGACTCTGGATTTCACCAGGATTGACCTGTGAAACCGTTGGGTTGGGGAGGTACTTGGGTTGGTATAGCGATTGCACATCTAGCAACGCTATACCTCCCGAGGGGGGGAAAACTAAATTTACCTCCCCTTTAGCACCCCCGGTGGCAGGGGAATTTTGGGCTTGGGGAGGTAAATTTGGTTTACAACCGCAGTTTACCTCCCCGGGTGGAGATGGTCTAAGGAGGTTAGCAATCGCTTACATTCGATTGGTGGTACATAGATTGCACAATGATGGTCAGACTAATCATGGTCTCTTGGGATTGAGTCTGATGTCGTACGCATACTGCGGCGAGTCTGGGGGATGCAACATGTGTGCAACAGCGTCGCGAAGGGCCTGCTCTCCAGGTCTTGAATACCATCGGGAACAGGCTGGCTTCGCCAACAAACTCAAGACACCGCGAACAGACTGGCTTTGCGAAGTCTTGAGGGCTGGCTTCGTGAGGTCTTGACTTAAGACCCCGTGAGAAGGCTGGCTTCGCGAGTTCTTGACTCAAGACATCGCGAAAAGGCTCGCTTTGCGACGTCTTTAACTCGGCTCGCGAACAGGCTAGCTTTGCGATCTCTTGACCCAAGACCCCGTGAAGCCTGGCTGTTCGCGATGGCTCAAGACTTCGTGAACACGCTCTTTTCGCGAGGTCTTGACAATATACCTCGGTCTGTGACGTGTCAAGCATGCCTCGCGGGAAGCGGGACTTGGTCAGGTTTGACTTGAGGTAAGTTTAGATGGTCACAGAACTTCATTTGCCGAGGAAGATTGAAGTTTTGACTTCTGAGTCATCGTCTCACTCGAACACACTCATTTGCAATTTGCACATTCCGTTGGCTCGCTTTTGTCCACTCCTGTCGCGGGTCCCGATTTAACGGGTGTACATACAACAGTCAACTCCAATAATCAATTCCCACAACTGAGACCTCAGTGGAACTCTTTTTGCATAACAAGCCAAATGATAAGACTTGATCAAATCTGATTGGCAAGCGTCAAGCACTTGCAGCGAGAGAAAACTAGAAATACAAATCCATATTCCTTCATGGGGCCCTGGCCAGTGCCGTGTACAACCAACATTCCTTTCTTCATTTGAGTCTTTGGATTTCACATTCGGCGTGTTCCATCTGCTCCACTCACTGCGTTCACGGTACCGGTGATCTACAACATAAATAAATCCGCACCTCTAATATGATGAAGGACCACCAACGCCGATTCACAGACGACAATCCCTGGAACTCGGTCCCTCCAGGGGTCAATCCGTTTCAATTTTCTATAGATCGCAGCGCTCACCAGGGTTTTGCACCGTTGTCGAGACTCGCCAAAGCTCTCCTGCTGGTTTTTTTCGTCTTCCATCTTTTGATTGCAATATTCTGTTTGATAATTCTTGTCTTGCCGTATATTCGGGGAGTAAAACAATCTCATTGGTTTTTCAGGAAGCTGTACATCCAGGATCAGTCTAGGCAGAAAGGTTTGTTCGAGCTATCTTTACCGCTGCCGTTGGATTGTTTCAACTCATATGAATGCTTTTCCTCATTTGCGCTTCAAGTTTACAAAGTTCCTTTACTCTGGGTCAATGGCGGGGTCGTCATGACCATGTCCCAGTTGATGGGCTCGGTAGCCACTCTAGCATACATCTTAATTCAGCTCGCGATCACACAGTCAATCAATGCATCTCTTCACGTACAGGTGGAACCTGCGTAAGTATTGACATGTATTAGCATGTCGTTTTCTTTTCTTAATAAGGATAAGTCTCACTAACAGGTCTCTGAGTTTTCTGCAGTTTGGCAATGATGTGCATGTGCGAAATGCTTACCTACTGGAGCCAGATGCATTGCTTCGTCGTCGCAATGTTGTAAGTTGATTGGCTTTTGATAGCTCTGGTGAATAAAGTAGGCTGACCCTTCTTATAACCCACCCGAAAATTTTCAACGATTGATTGAAAAATTGCGTCCTGGCCCAAAACCTACCGCATTGAAGTTACCATAACCATAAGACTGATTCAAATGGCCCAAAGAGATGGACTCCGCCGCCGATCTTCATCAACTGTCTTTTTCTTGGTTTCCCGATGGTCCTCGTCATTGCGACTCTCCCACCAGTGATCGGTTTATCACTAAATCATAACCAAATAACAATTGGAGTAACCAGTATCATGAATACTTTGAGGCAAGGCGCTTCAGTTTGGGACCAACTGAAAGTGCCGTCAACGACCATTGAAGAAAAACACGAGCTTACAACTCAGCTTAATCAAATCATGTCGCAACTGAAAGACCTCGGCGTTCACATCGGTATTCACGCAGAACGTCTTAAAGTGTGTTTTGATTCATTCATCTGGGTTATGTTAGTCCTACTTTGCATAACCTTCCTGGTAAGCACACCGTATTTCTGTTGGGATGATTGGAACAGACAGGTTGGCATCGGTTGTCTCGGATAAACAGTTACTGACATCTCGAGTAATGTCATTTGTTCCAGTTTTTTATTGTTGTATTTGGAGTATTGGTGCAAAAAGTGCAGCAGGCGGAGGAACAATCAGCCTGCGGATCATCTGCTTCAAAGCCTTTTCGCCGCTGGTTTAATCTCAAGAATCATGCAACCACGAGTGGGGTTGAGCCCAAGGATCGTTCTGACACGGGGGAGCAAACGAGTATCATGAATCGCCAATTCTGTGGGTTCCGCGCTGATTACCACGTCTTGTCTGCTTGGTAGATTACTGATGGGATTCGAGCTTATTGCTGGTGACATAGTCCATCTGATACTTCGGTCAATATGTATCATTGTAGCGATGTGTACCAGTATTACTCTTTGTATTTTAGGCATCGTCAAGTCACACGACGGTTCCATCCGAAGGTAATTTCATTCCCATAATCACCTCTAGCATTAGTATGTAAATGATTCATAGAGTTCACGAAAACGTTCTTTTCCAGCTCCTACTGGGCAGGTGTGACGACTTGGCTAGCGACACTGGCTGGCTCCTGGTCTGCTATCCCGATTGTGTGGCAATGCGTGAGTTTCTTTGCAATCTATCCAGCGCTTCTTCACTCTGTTTGAACTGAAAACTGAGCTTGGTGTCGGAAATGGAATAGTGGAGGTTATACAACGATGATTTGGGCAGAACCTTTCAATCTTCAGTAAATTCCAGACATGCTCCGTCGAGTGGGGAAAGCAATCTCAAGAACAGTGTCCATCGCAAGCCTTCGGAGGAACGACTCGATATAAGAATTGAACTCGCAGCAAAGTAGCCCCCGTTACGAGCCATGAAACCATTTAAATTCTCCATCAAAAATCCTTCCGCTATTTGAGTAGTAACATTCCCTTGCGACGAGACGGGTTTGTAAACAGTCATTGGGGACAATTTATTTGGTAACGAGTTAGACAATCGAGCTGTCATTCAAAATTCACAAAAAAATGTAAAAAGGAAAAAACTGGTTGTACATTCATACTCTTAATTTTTGTTGTATATGTATATACGTGCAGTCAAGTTTTGGCATTGCACAATAGGTATACAATTTGAATGTTTGGACTACATACTTTTCACAGGCATCGAACCCCTTGAAAACTACTTGTTCTCAGTGTAAATCATTATCTTAGTAGGTACCCAGTGAAACCCCAACACCAGAGGTTCTTGAGGTCCCAATTTTCTGAGTTCTAATTTTTGAAACCACAAGCTCAATAATTGCGCACTCCGGCAAAAGTTAACTGAATGCCAGAAATTGAACAGCTGATCATGATCCTAGTCTGACACTTGGAAATGAGTGTTCACCATGCCTAGCGGATTCCTTGGGTGTAATCAGATCAAATTTCCCAAATGTTGCCAGGCTCCGACATAAACAAATATCTGCTTGATTGCCACGAGCAAGAACAGTCCTCAAGTGTCGCTCAAACCGTGAACACCCGTCGCAAAGCAATGGCCTCTCAACCGGAGGGTACGTGACCTGGCGTACCCGCGGGATGCTCTTCGTAGCCCTTCGCCCACCAGTACCAGAGCGAGCCTCCCCACCAGGGGGGCTTGTGTTAAGTTGCATAGATGGGATCTACTCAGAATTGTACATGTCGATGATACAGGATGATACATAGTCATTGACTTTTTGCACAGCTGACGCTGTTGCCAGCGGCGGTGTCAGGCAGCGCCTATCTTTCGGGTCCGCCCATTTACCTCCGACAGGAAAGAACCAGGGACTTGGAAGTAAAGTGAGCTGTTTCTCCTTGCCCGCAGTTGGAATATCACACCTTAATGTCTCACCGAAAAAAATGATATACCGGGTTGAATGGTGATGACTCTGCTGGCGCTGCTAAGGTCAAAAAATCCCCAACTCACTCAATCCCTGTCGTTCAAATGGAATCAGCTCTTGCAATTCTTCAGCTCCGTTCCTTGAAACTGCTTTCCTTTTGGTGCTTCAGCGTAGTTTTTTCGACATGGCCTGGCATTGACTTGAACAAACCCCCGCCAGAATGCTATGAGGAAATACAGAGTTCGAGCGCGACTTGCGAAAGCTTTTCGGGGAAGCGAAAATATGACCAAGTGGAATTTTGTAGCTTCAGTCCCCCTGCCAGCCATGTTCGTCTATCATACGCTGACCCCTCAAGCTCAGGTGAGGTGGCGTTTGGCTCGTTTTTACCTTTCGAGCAACAAAAGGACTAACCGAGATCTGCTCACAGCCCAAAGCGTATTTGAACCGAGCCATGCGGGGGGAAAACCGTCAAAGATGGCGGGAGGTTTGGTGGTCAGAAAAGAAGTACGTCAATCTGGCGGTAGTGGTAAGAGCAATAATGACGGTAAGCACAGCTATGTTGAGCTTTGGAGCTTAGTATGAATCGTTTGGTTTGATGTGTGGTAGTCTCTCTCTCTTTCCACAGCCAGTCCGCACTCCGAGTCCGGTCAGGGACCAAAACTGAGTCAGCAAGCAAATCTCACCGGTTTCGCCCCAGTAGATACCGGCGTGCCAACCTTCCCTCCAGATGAGAAAACGAAAAACCGCGCGCTTTACAGTTATTTTCTATCAAATGAGCAAGTGATAGAGGAGCTACTCCACAGAAACGGTGTGAGATTTAATGAAGAACTCAAAAGCATTCCGAGTCGTTGGCCACTGGAGAAACATGAAACCTTACCATATGCTCGAGCAATTAATTGCGGAGAGGCGAGGGGAGCACAAGTCTTCAAAGTGCTGGACAGCTCAAGGGAGCACATACAGAATAGGGGCGAGCTAATTCGGCTGTATAACCGTTTGGCAGCATCATTATACAAACTCCATGGAGAACATTTAAATCGCTTCACAATAACAACATTTGAGCACAGGGAGCAGCAAGAGAGATTATTAGGCTGGCTTTATAAGGAAATCTTTAAGCCTGATCACAGTCCTCCAGTGTTTGGAGTTGTTAATCTACCCTATTCTGACTGGTATTTAGACGATACAAGAATGAAAATTGGAGCTACTCAAGTAGAATTAATTAACTACTTTGCTCAGAACATCCAACAAGCTGATGAGACTGTAGCCCATACCGCTCATCATGTATTTGAGGCTTATGAAGAGCAAAATCCCAGTGAGTAAACAAGCTGAGTTCAACACTATAGCAGATTGCACATGTTCTTACTAATCAAATCCAACCCATTTGAATCTATTTTTGACTTTAAAACATTGGTAAAAATACCAGTGAGTTATGCAGCCATAAATCAATCCAATAATTCATTCAGAGAAGATCTTGATCAAATTTCTACCCAACCATGCATCAAAGCAAGCATGCAGTTTTTTTCAAGCCTTGCTGAAGACTCAGACTATAAATGGTTCCGGCATGCAGTCATTACAAAACTAAATCCAAACTTTTCACTCATTGAAATGTCAACTGATTTCCTCAAGAAGATGTTTGACAAAGCAAAGGTATTCAAATCAAGTCTCAGGAGTTATCACCCAAAATTGCCAATAGCAATGTTCTTTGGAAAAACAAAACATGACCAGAATGCCTTAAGGATGATAAACTCAAGAGATGGAACATTATTGAGTGAAGAATATTACATCATACCCAAATTTAGAATACTTTTAAAAACTGTGGACCATTTACATGTGAACACATTAGAAAAACTGAGCATTCAAGGATCAAAATCCAGAAGAATGAGATATGATTCTCTCAAATTCCTGGCTGAAGAAATCACCAAACCAAAAGTTGGTCTTCCTCTGATCGGAACTTGTGAAGCTGTAAATGGTGATGTTGCCCCATGGTATGACAAGTCCTACAAGAATTTCAAATTATTTGGAGAGCTTCAATTGAAAATGCTTGAATACTTGACAGAAGATCTGACCAATGCTAGAATGATGAATGTTTCAGCATATTCTTTAGCTATTTGGTATTATCATCATCATCCATCTTACCTCAGACATTTCACTCAAGGTCCTTCTTTTCCCATGCCTTTTGAATTGTGTATTTGCATAGCACATACTGGGCATTGTCCAAGTTTAGGTAAGGTAGCATCTTTTAGCTTTAAATTTGAATAATAATAATAAAAATTACTGACATTGATATCCTCATATCAGATAAAGCCAAAGCTCACATCCCAAAAGAAATCATCAAACACTAATCTGGGAATGCAAAACTGAATTGAGGAAGATGACTCCATCTCAAGTTGATCTAAACAAGGATAGCAAACAGTTAACATGAGGAATCAGGGTTCTCAAAGCTGAAATTGGGCCAAAAATACAGCACATAAATACTCCCATACATACACAAATACACAGATTTTTTTCCATGTGCTAACCCATACCTGTGCAACAAAACCCATTCTAGATGCATACCCCCACCTACCCCCACAGAAAAACAGTGTATGTGTTGTAGAGATGTCAGAAGGTACCCGTTTGCGGGTACCTGTTTTCCAAAGCGGGTACCTGGAAACAGGGGCAGGTGTCAACATTTGGGGTAAAGGTACCCCCCTTTCACCCTCCCTGGGAATGCTTCCCCTGAAGAATTTAAATTATCATCGGCGGTCCAACACTCCCTTTTTTGGGTGTGTTGGGCTGCACAAAGGTGTCAGCTACCCGGTGTCCTACATGGGTTGCTTTGTTGAGGCCGGAGGGAACCCTCTGGCCTTTGAGATGGTGTACAGTCTCAACAACTGGAGGAATCAACACCGCAACCACTACGCTCAGTGAGCATTAGTGGTAGCAAAAGCGTAGCAAAATTTGGCTCACTTTGCTCCGCTTACAGTAGCGCCATTAGCAGTCCGCCTCTTGCTGACAGATTTTGGGAAAAAAAAACTTGGATACTAGTGGCTATTTGTGAATCACCGCAACGCTTTCCGCTTGAATAGCAATTCAAACGCTATGTAGTGGTAGTGTAGCAATTGTTTTCTTTTTTTTTTTGGGGGGGGTGACATGATTTTTAGTAAGAGCACAATGCTCCATCTTGTATGTATATATTTTTGTATAGGAGGGGAGGTGGAACATGGGAAGGTAGGAGAGCATAACTAACCAAGAAAATAACAGCCGACTCAAGTTATAACTTCATATGTTAAGCATGTATTATATGAAAAAAGATATGTCAGTAGAAATCTCACCGGCAGACTAGCTTCAGCTCCAGATCCTGAGTTGCTTGTATTAATAATCACTCTGGTAGCCCTGGAACACTTTGGAGTTGAGTCCACATTCGTTTCTGTGGAGCTGGGACTAGTATTTGGTTGGAGTTGTAGTGTCCTGTGAGGATTGGAATTGGTTGGAACAAACCCAGGGGTTATTATTGGGACTTTCTTTCAGGCAGATTGGCGGTGTGGTAAGACCAATCAAACCCATAAAACATAAAAAGACAAATTAAAATATTAAAATAGTAAATAAAGATTCAAGAAAGAAGGTGAAAATATCAAATGGTCATGCTAAAGCCTATTATTCTCAAATCATAGTCATTTTTCCTTGAAAATTCATTTCATATATAATTACACTTCACAGACTAAAGGTATAAAACATACATGGAAGATTAAAAAGTATAAATATAATTATAAAATAGATCATACAACATAACAAGAATGGTCAACAAGGAATTAGAAATAATATAAGGTTATAAAGCTGAAAACCATTCAGAAGGAATAGAATAATATTTCATCAAATCATAAAATAATTCAGCAGATCTTATTAGTTAATTAAGCAGATCATTATTAATTAATTACACAGCCATTTAATTAAATTACACAGCTATTTAATTAATTACACAGCCACTCATCATTATTTCACAACAGAAGGATCATTAATCACACAGATGACATCATTGACCAACATAGCAGTAGAATATTGATTTCACAACAGCACATCATTAATTCCACGGCTGCACATCATTAAATTCACAGCTGTAAATCATTAAATTCACAGCTGTAAATCATTAATTTCATAGCATGACATCATCATGACATCATTAAATTAGCGGTATGAGGTCATTACCCAGTCAGACCAAGCATTCTCATCAGTGAAGCTGTTTACCATCCCCACCAAAGATTTTGTCTATAAATAGAGGCCCTCCTGGCCCTTGTTTTCCTTCCTTCCTCCCTATGTCTGCATCAGAGAAATAAGTAGAGATCTTATTTAGCATTCATCAACCCCCTTACATGTCTGCATAGGAATAGTAATTAGAGATATTACTTAGCATTCATCAACCCTTATATAACAGATTCAGAATAGTAATAAGAGATATTACTAAAACCCTCACTCCTCACCCTTATTGAACCTGTTAAATAATAAGGAATTTATTTAACTCACCTCCAGCTCTCAACAGAAGATATTGAAGAAAGAAAGACTCACTTCATTAAAGACCCAGAATTGAACCAGTGAACCCAGGAGAATAGATTAAACCAGAATAAACCAGAAACCCTCAGATATCTCCTAACTCAAGAAGCTCTTGACCATCCATTCCATCCACCCTTATAAACAACTCAACATCCTCAACAGGTAGTATCTTCACTAAGATAAATTTTAGAAATCTACCACACTATTATTTTTCTTAGTGTAACTCTCTCACAAGCTAGACAAGGAGGGCAGTCTCACCAACACCCATTTATTATTATTACTATTTTATAGTTTTATTAATATTTATCCCCTCCAAGCTCTTCACTCATTAGCTGAGCAGTTCCACAGCGGATAGGGACTTGAGGTGGGGGGCAGGAAGGAGTAGTACTAGAGATGGTGAGATTCTGGGTACTGCTATCTGGCAGGGGAGTGGCCTCTCAACTGGCCATTTGAAAGTGAGTGTGGATCCTTGGTGTAGGGGTATGTTTGATGATATGGCTGTCCACAGCCTTTTTTCATAGTATGTATGTATGTCTGTGGATAGCCGACATATCCTTGACTGTGAAAAAAAGGGCAGGTTTGTGGGTCAACAGCAGCAATAGCGGATGGAAGTGCAGCATGCTGCTGCACTTTAGCCGCTCACTTAAGGTAACAGAAAACACAAGTGCATTAGCCCCTAAATTGCTGACGCTCCGCTATTTTACAGCATTAGCGGTAAAAAAGCCGCTGCACTACATGAGGGGTGAATTTGCAGTAGCGGTCTGACCACTACGCTGGTGCTCATTTCAGCGCAAAGCCACTTGCGCTTTCACTATCCTGCCATTAAAATAGCAGGTCACTGCTGTGCTCCGCTAATTTGGTGCTTTTTGGTTGGAGGAATCCCTCTGGACTTTGAGACAGTGTACAGTCTCAACAACTGGAGGAATCCCTCTGGCCTTTGAGCCTGTGTACAGTCTTGACGACTGGAGGAATCCCTCTGGCCTTTGAGACAGTGTACAGTCTTGACAACTGGAGGAATCCCTCCGGCCTTTGAGACGGTGTACAGTCTTGACAACTGGAGGAATCCCTCCAGTCATCAAGACAGATTTCTGGGTATATTTGCCTGCAAAAAATCCTCCACACCCGCAGGTACCCACCCTGGCAGACCTGGCGGGTGCAGGTGTCCAAAATATTGGATTTTTGAGGCAGGTACCCGCACCCACTACAGGTACCCAGGTATGAAGCAACATCTCTAATGTGTTGTATGTAGCCTCAGTTGGTATGTTTCAACTTTGAGAACCCTAAATATAAGAATTGATGAAATTTGGGATATGTAATTCACCAAGAAAAACCAAGGATCACTTGACAGCAAGTGACAATGACATCTCAGATTACAAAGGGGCCTTTGTAATTTTGGATGTCACTTTTCATCAAACAATCATTGATTTTTCCTGGTGTGATGTTTATGTTGACCTAATCACTTATGCCTCTCTGCAGAGACATTCCAATATCTTTTTGTGCTTCAAACTTACCTTGTCTAGTATACTTCATCAAGATTCATTTGTTATGCATGCCAAATTACTCAATACAAAATCATCAAGAAGATGTGTTTTGGAGCATGTGTGTAAGAATATCTGGCATCAATATTAGACTAATTAAAGTTCAGGTGTGTTTTTGTTTCCTAAGGAAAAGGACCAACTCATCAGCAACTGTTGTGGCATTTTAGGAGCTTGGAGTTTATATTTGGATTGTGGACTCTTTTCTCCTCATCTTTACCCCCTTCCTTTTCCTGCTAGATTGCATGTTCAATTCAAATACACACATGTTTCATGCTTGATCTGCCTGACCAAAAACTACATCAAAAGGCCTCCACAAGCGTGGTTGCACTCGGTTTTCACGTCTTGTTTTGTTTTTTGTTTGGTATTGATTCCCATTTCTCAATACAATTTGTTTAATGGGTCTGCGGATATCAATAAAACAGGTTGCGATTAACAAAGCCCCACACCAAAAGCAAAAGCGAAAAATCAGAAAAGCCAGTCAGAATTAGACGTGAAGTAAAGTAAAATTGCGGCTGAGGTAGAGGATGAGGACTGACGGGTTTGATCTTAAAATGAGCAGAGATGAGCGAGAATACAAAGATCTGTGAAAGGGTTTAGATAGCGAATATGTAAATGTGAGCATTTTCTTTCCTATGAGTCAAGAGTAAGAGAGTTTGAAGGCAAAACAAAGAGGGATAGAGATGAAGACAAAGCGAGGGATGTGAGAAAGATGGATCTGACATACCCGAAGGTCTTGGATAAGGTAGTAAAACACGCGCAGGCCTTCTGGATCGTCAGATCCTTGAACGTCGACCAACGATCCGATTTTGGCAGTCTTGATATTGAGAAGGATGGTGATGGATGAAGCAATCGGTTTTGAGAGGGATTGTTGGGGTGGGATTGATCGACTTATCAGCTTCGATGGAGGACGGTCAGTTTGACTGAAAAGAGATGGAACCCACTTCGAAAGAGATATGGGTGTCTGATAACCGCACTTCTAGCTCCTGCTTTCCGACCACGTTTTTCTTCGGCCAGTTATGGTCATCTTCCCTATTTTGTTTTTGTTTTTGGTAGGTTTCATCATTGTATTTTATTGTGAGTTCGGAGATGAGAAGGAGATAGAATCAAAGCGTTCGGTCAATATTTTTCTTTTCTGAGGGTGATCGAAGGAGCGGTAGTACCGATCTCAATTCTCAGGATAAAGAAAGATATGGTCAATTTACTTGATGATTTCACTCTCTGCAACGATTCGTTTGAGTTCCGAGATCGTCAAAGGTGAAAGCCACACTAAAACCCAAAGAGAAAACCAGCGTTTTTAGCATGAAATTGGGAATAAAAACAGCCTTTTTGAGAGAAATAGTTACCGACTTTCTTTCCTGATCAAACTATCGTTTCGATAACTGAAAAATTAACGTATTTTTTGGGTGGATGAAGGGGAGAATCAGAAATCTGGAGACGAATTTCCTGAAGTGTAGCCAATGATCAGGTCGGAGGGAGAAGACGTAGAGGGGTGCTGACTTTGAGTTATTGGCGTATCTCAACCTGCCCTCGCTGAATTCGAATTCTAGGAACTCGTGTCCGTATCGGCCCATATGACCACTGTAGTATCGCACATAGAACGGGTCCGTCTTGGCGGGCATCGTCTCTAGCTGTTTTTTTCGCGTTGATAGGGCCTTTCCGGATCGACTATGACTGAGGGGGACTGATTGGTGTTCAAGTTGTGCCGCGTCTGGATAGGGTGCCAAGTTTTGGTCAGTCGACAAGACTTGGGCCAAATATCGATCGACCAACAACGGGGGGCCCCAAGGGACTCGCGCGGGGGGCACGTGTTCGGCGACCACCGATTTACCTGAAGCGGAGACCGATCCGCGGCGCCGCCAAACGGTCGCAGGACCAGACTTTCCCGTCGGGGTGCACTCGGGGAGCACCGATTGGGTGCACTCAGACTTGGGATTTGAGTCTCACTTGATTGTGTGAAAAAGTCTTGACCATCACTTGAAGCATGCTACAGCAAAGCTTATTGACTGAGGCATCCCACCCCACACTCATGGAAAGCTAGACATGGGCACAGCCAATGCGGTACTCGGGTTCGTCATGGGCACAAATTATTATTTTCTCCTCTCAAAATTTGACTTGAATAAACAGCAAAGTATTGTGGTAGGGAATCAAAGGAAAACACTAAAGTTAATAGATTTAAAACTGTCAAGATGAGTCAGAATATATATGATCAGTAGAGCAATGATAGGCTAGAGGGATTTGGCAATGTCGCGCTCATCGCTCCAACCCGAAACAACGAGACCCAACTGTTTTTGAGTTGAAGAGGTCAAAATTCAAGTGATCAGCAAATCCCAGTATGCATGTCACTGATCAGGTAGGCGCTAATTGGACTCACATTGTCTAGATTGTAGTCAAGATAAGAACCAAACATGCACTGACCACCATGGGAAGCAGGGTTCGGTATCAAGCAGTGTGCCAGTATTTTTTCGGATTCAAGACCTAACTTGGCCCAAGTGGACTGATCATGGTGGTGTGGTATGTATTCACGCATCTCAGTGTCACATCAAAAGCAAGTTAAATACGTTTGTGAGGTCACTCACCTGAACATAGTGATTATGTTCCATCACATTGTTTTGGCTGTTAGATCTCCGCTTCAAGTTAGCTGGAAGGAAAAAAAAGAGCGGCGCTTTGAACAAGACAAGATCACTTACAATGTGACAGCACAGTCTCCAGCCGAGACAACAACCCAGGTATCTGCAAATAAACTTCTCAGCAATTTTCTTTGATCATTTTTATTGAAAGACGAAGAGGTAAGCCTACTCAGTGGAGCAATGAAGCTTCCAGTCGAGTTGTTCAAAAGTGTTTGAACAACTGTCTGGCAGTTAGACTACAAGACAAGACAAGTGGAGGAATCATCAGTTTAAATCATTTTTTACTAGTCAAGCAAGATGGCCCAACAGGGTTCAAGGAGCACTTGCCATTTGAGGAGGAAAGAGGACAGGCATGTCACATTTGTACTGGGAACAACCGGTTGGGGTCAAGCTGATTGGTGTGTTTGACTGAACAGCGACGGGTTTGACTTCGGTAGAGTTTGGCTTGAGGAGCGTGACTCCATCTGGGGAAGTTATCTGATGACAATAGCTGACGGTTGTCTGACCCATCTGAAAGGATTCAGTCCGAATCAGGTTCGGTTTCTGGCTGCTGCAAACAGCGCTCAAGATCGCGTGAGCTCTTGTTTTGGTGGGGGATGATACTGAGATTTGGGCCTTACCCACTAACGGTATTGTTTGGGACAGTGCTATGGTGAGGATCATAGGAATCATGACCATGTTGATGGAAGTTAATGGGCAAGGAGTGTGATTTGGCTATTAGCTTCGCGATCATCAAGGAAGCTGTTGACTAACGTGGTGGATGTTGCGGCCAATCGGCCAGACATCCGCTGCTTTCACTGCAAATGTGATTATATCAGATTCCCACATCTGGCATTATATCAGATGAAAAAATCTGATTTTACATCAGGCCAAACTCTACAGTTGCGGACGTCATAAACCAACCACACTTTTTTGTGGGTCCGGACAGTTGGGAGTAAAAAATTCCAAAAATTTTGCTGCGGCCCGAATTTCTTTGAGTGGTACATACTGTAGAATCTTTGTCAAAAATCAGTTCTCCTGGTGGCCATGCTCCAAATATGTTGGTAATGTACTTAAATACGTCCAAGCTTGTAAATTTCAGTCAGCAGAGACCTCTTGGCTACAGCTGAATCCAGCCACTTCACGGTCTCATGGGTAAGTATCTAAAATCAGCATTCACAATATGTAGTTCTAATATAATGATCAGAGACTGATTGGCTCCCTGCACAATCAATATTATAGATCCGGAAATGACAGGCAAGAAAGTCTCAAAAGCCAAAAAGGGACAAAGAAGATGGCGCCGCAGAGAAAAAATTGAGAAAGAGGATAAGGAAGCTAAGTCTGTAAAGATAAAAACCAAGGAACCAAAGCAAGCCAGTAAGATTAAGACTAAGAACTCAAGGAAAGATAAAATATCAGCTCCCACTCCAATTCTTGTTGATTCCGACAGCGATATCAATGTGGTTCACCTCATTGAAGATGAAAATGATGCCGAAGTTCAAATCCTCAACGCTGGCCCCATCAATTCTGACAAAATCCAAATCCTCAAAGATCGAGCCATGGTACATGGGCAGCCCACCCAGACTGAACCTTCCATCAACAATTCCGAGCCAGAAAAAAACACCGAGACAACCGATATGGAACTATTTGACTTCCAAGAAGCTGAAATTGAAGCGAGAAACCAAGGTAATGATCTAGTTAATTACTACGATCTTGCGATGGACGATGAAACATCAGATGAAGATAGCGATGAGACCGAAGACAAGGACAAACGGTTTGAAGGATTGTGGCCAATATTCTCTGGTGGAATCTCTGCTAGCCAAGAATCAATTAAACATCGCCAACTAAAATCTGGAAAGAAGACCTATCAACAACCGGTCAAGAATCCAAATTCTTCCTCCAGTAAGCTTATCCCAGCCCCTATTCCCAAGCAGACCAAACACGACAGGAAAAATCGACGCATTCAAGCTCTTGGAACAAACAATACAATATTGGAGAACTATTTTATCCGATTGGAGCCCGTTAAACCTGCCATAGCGGATTCAGCCATTGATCCTGACCTTGTGTCTGCCACCCTGTTGAATAGTACTATTGCCAATCCTTGCCTTGATCAAGCCGAACGTGAATCCGTCGATGCCCAACTTGCTTGCCTATTAGAACAACGGCTTGCAGCTCCAACAAAACCTCAGACTGCGAGCAAATCAGATAAAGCTCAGGCCAAATGGGAGGCACTCAACTCTGCACTCAACAAAGCCACTTTACGGTACCAGCAAAAAGTAAAGAAAGATAAAAAGTTCAAGTTTCCCCAATCGATGATGAACAACCTTTATCAGTTTAACAACCTTCGACTCAAGTACTCGCTCAATGGAACCGGGGGGTTGATAACCCCCAGTGTCACAGCTTCTCTTGCAGCTGCTCAGAGCTCTATAGAACAGCACCCTTCGACCACCGGTCCTCCAAAATTAAGAAGTGGAATATATCTATCTTGGTCTATTCGACGTGAGGCCAAACATATTCTGAATAACCAACACCTCTCTGAAGTCAAGCAAGGCAATCGAAAGAATCATCGGTTGTTGCTAGAAAATGTAGAACTTCGAAAAGTTCTATTCACTTGGGCAGCATCTCAAGTCGCTGGTCATGTTAGTTATGCTTTGTCATATATATACATTGCTCATTTTGAAAAGTCTGACTCTTCTTTCCTTTTATATTTCAGGTGACTCCGATAACATTCCGTGAGCATGTCATCAACAAAGTCTTCCCTCAGTTCGACATTCAGGAAGGCCTTAGCCGAAATGCTGTGACTCGTTGGATGATCAAACTTGGATACCGCCCTCAGGAGTATCGAAAGTGTCTTTACTTCGATGGGCATGAGCGACCTGATGTACTCAAATCTAGAAAGAAATACATCGAAGATTTCTCCTCTTATCGGAAGCAATCCAGGGTATATGGCGGTGATGATCTTGAAACTGCGGCTCAAGTCGACCCTGAAGCACTAGGTGATGGAAAGGAAACTGTCTTCATATTCCATGACGAGTCTACCGTTGTGAGAGAAAGAAAAGTTGTGACATGTCAGAGAACTTCATGTGATAGTCTTGTACCTAGTCTAGTTCGCGCACTCTGTTGTTTCAGCTTCTCCTTTCTTCTCTCATCCTGTTTTCTCCCTTATTCTTCCATCCTTAGGTTCGACCTAACTGCTCCCGCCCCTGATCCAACCCTCGCTGACACCCAACACACCATATGGTGTCTAAAGGTCATTATAATCATCTTGTCTTTTCTTTCTCATCTGTTTCTCCACTTCTTATTCTTCCTATGAAATGAACCCCTCATCCTGTTTTCTCCCTTATTCTTCCATCCTTAGGTTCGACCTGACTGCTCCCGCCCCTGATCCAACCCTCCCTGACACCCAACACACCATATGGTGTCTAAAGGTTTGACCTAACTGCTCCCGCCCCTGATCCAACCCTTGCTGACACCCAACACACCATATGGTGTCTAAAGTTATTTTTGCTATTCTCACAACCGTTCATGCAAAAGAGAAGCCGAAATCGAGCTGGTTACTTCCTGGTAGCCGTGAAATCCGATCGAAGAATGCTGGTCGGCTCATTCATATCTCCGACTTCATTCTTGAAACAACAGGAAGGTTGAAACTCCCTGTTGAGTTTTCAACTCTTGGCTACTCTTTCCCCTAAATTTTTTCTCCTCTTTTCTTTTTTGAATCATCTTGACCTGGACTGAATTATCCTCAATCATAGCTGTTTTTTGTCTTGAATCTTATGCTCAATTGTAGTCTAATTAGAACTAATCATGGCAATTTTCAAACAACTCTAGTCTTATTGATTGATGTCTTTCTTTTTCTAGCTCACTATTTGATTCTTTAAAAGCTAATTATTTAGAAGTAATGCCTCTAAATATTTGTGGTAGAATTTCTGATTTTTCTTGATTAACTTTTCTTGTCTGACTAAAAGAGACTGAGAAGTCCGGCTAAGACTGTTTCTTCCAAGACTTCAAATTATTCTGTCTCTTAGTTTTTATTCAACTTTCCTTTTTATTCAATTTGCCTCAACCACAGTTTGATCACATGTATTTAGTCTATTTAATCTGGCTATTTACCTGTGAATGAAAACCATTGGTTCTTTCATTCATTTTCTGTGAGCCTTTCCCAAAAAAGTCTCTCATCCTTTTTTGAGCCCCTTTTCTCAAACTCCTCAAAAATCCTTCCCCTCTTGAGCTCAGAATTTCAACACTCCCTGAAGAACGCGCTCAAGCACTCAATCTTGAATCAAACGATGCTGCCACTGTCATTTATCCCGGGTCAAATGGGGATAAATGGTGGGACATGGAACAACTTTGAGATCAAGTCTCCAACAAGGCCATTCCAATTTTTGAAAGCCTCCACCCAAACTCCCAGGCGATCTTTGTTTTCGACTGTTCATCGGCACACGGTGCATTTTCAAAAACAGCTTTGAGAGTTCAGAACATGAATCTCAATCCTGGTGGCAAGCAATCACGTCTCCGAGACTCGATTATTCCCTCTGATGACCCACTAATCCCCCATCATCTCCGTGGCCTTCGGCAACAATTCTGCTATGATTCTTCACACCCCGATCCTAAACGAGCCGGTCAACCCAAAGGAATTCAAGCAATCTTGGAGGAGCGGGGGATTTGGCAGCACTTCACTTCCTTAAGAGTCCAAGAAGGCAAGCCCGCCTTGAAGCTTCAATGCAACAGCTGCACGACATCCAACATCCGAAAAGATGCTTTGAATCGCTCAGCAAAATTAATTCAACAAGCTGAAGATGCTGGCTACTTCTTGACCCCGGAACAGTGTGTCTCGGAGCATATGGCAGCAGAAGGGCAAAGCCCTGAGATCGAACCCAGTGATTCAGATGCAGCCAACAACACAACTGAAAGCACCAACTGTTGTTGGTCAAAAATACTATCACAGCAGTCAGATTTCATCAATGAGCGACCCTTACTCCAGACAATCATTGAAGACGCCGGGCACATTTGTCTTTTCTTACCAAAATTCCACTGTGAATTAAATCCTATCGAGCTCTTCTGGTCTTACATCAAGGAGTGTAAGTTTTCAATCTCCCTGCTCAATATCAATCCATATTCTAACAATAACCTGTTGTTTCCTTTCTAAATTCAATCCAGCATATCGAAAGCAATCACACACTGCTGGATTGTTCGCTGCCTGCAAGGCTCTTTTTGACCGCGTCAGGCAGTCCTGCCCACTCATCACAATTAGAAAGTACTTTTGTCGAATCAATCGACAGCTCTCAGTTTATCAACAGGGCTACAGTGGTCCTCAGTCCGAGATTTTGATGAAGAAATACAGTTCACATCGTTGTATTCCTCGACGAGCTGCCATGGACATCGATGTCCTCAATGCCTGAGCTTAACTCACATATCCGCATGGAACTTACCGATCAGATCTCTTTGACCTTGTGTCTTGTTCCTTTTTTTTTTTCTTATTCTTCTACATAAAGATCTCTCAATCATATCCCCCATCGATCGTTTTTGATATTGTTGCTTGAGCCCACTATGTACATACACAACAGTCAATGTGTATGTATGTATTTGGCTATTGGAATGCATAATCATGGCTTAAAAGGTGTGTTTAAGCCATAATCTTACCCATAAGTACATAGCTATGTTCTTCTGCGCGGGCTCCAAGGTCGGGTCCGAAGGGTCCCGGTTCAAAAAAAAAAAAAAAAACGGCTGGGTAGAATCCTAAGCCGAGTTAATTCTGAGATCCCCATGCTCCAAAGACTCCATTATTGTTGTCCGCATGTGGGTTTGGCCCATGGGCTGGGCAGTTTGTCGACCCGCGCGCAAATTGTAAATTTTGCGGGCCGGTCAGTACCGGTTTATGACGTTCGCAACTGTAGCTTAACAAAGCCTCTGCCGGGGTGTCCCCGCGGGACGCTCTCCGTAGGAGAGACTTATGAGTCAAGGCAAAAATTTGGCTGGGACAGGAAAGCCTAATACCACATAATAATTTTTCTAAAAAAACCACTTACTTGAAAGAAATTATGAATAGACAGTTTTGTCAATCATCTCAATGAGCATTTGGGACTCTAAGTTTGATTTCCTTGTGGATCTTGGTCAATTGTTGTTTTGGGTTTTCGAGGAAAAATCATTTTTCAAAAAAATGTAGAAGGGGAACCAGGGCAAATGAAGGGATGAGACCACCTTCAAATGAAAGCTGGGACCCAAAAGTACAATCTGGCTCTGAGCCAGGCTTGTTGAGGATTAGGATGAGGAGCCAGGGCCTTAAAAAATTTCACTCCAGCCATTTTTATTTCCTGTGCCAACGGTGGGCCGCTACACTAACCGTAGCGGTTAGTGTAGCGTAACACAGCGGAATTCCCGTTAGCGTTAAGCGTAGCGTAGCGGAATTCCGCCACGACACCGCTAACGCTACGCGTGTGGGCCACAAAAAAGGGCCCACTACAGCGGTTTTTAGCCGCTTTTTACGCTAAAAGCGCTGTAGCGCAGCATAGCGTAGCGAAAATGCGCTACAAAAGCGCTAACACTACAAAATTTTGGCGCAAAAAAAGCGCCGCTACGCTACGCTTTTTGGGCCAAAAGCGTAGCGGCCCACCGCTGCCTGTGCCAGCCCAAATTTTGACTTTGTGCGCAAGTCCCTCCCTGCAGGAGGGCGCGCTTCACGCGCAGAAAAACCGACTGCAGGCAAGGGACTTGTGATAAGTTAGGGCCAAACTGGTATTATGTCTATCAGGAGTGATATTACATCTACCTAAAACCATGTTATATCTATCATAACAGATATTGCATCAGCCCAACCTATTTGATGTCAACATAACTGATTTTATAACAGATTTTTACATCTGATACAAATTTTTAGCCCATGGCATTAAATCAGATAGAAAAATCTGATATGAATTCAGTCATGTTGACATTGAATAGGGTGACCCAATGTAATATGTTTCATGATAGACACAATATCATTTTAGGTAGATATAACATCAATTCTGGACGTAGATACAATCCCAGTTTTTCCTGATGTAATATCAGATATATTTATCTGATGTAATGCCAGATGTAACAATCTGATACAATCATTTTGGCAGTGTTTTTTATATCTGATCTGACTGTGCCTTGAGACTCCAGTTGAGCCTTCCCTACAAAGAAGCTGGTTTCAATAGACGTGATGCGATCTCCAACGATTTTGTGCCAGAGAGATGAAACAAGACAGGGGATGATTCCCAAAAAAACCTCTGCAAATTGGCCAACTGTCCAAGATTTGAAACCCGTGGGTAGCACACAGTATTACGACCTCTGCTGATTTTTGGATGGTTGAAGATGGTAAGGCATTGCCAGGGGAGCTCGGCGCACATATACATCTGCCCTACTCATTGTTGCCAAGTAATTTTCAGAATCCAAGCCTTGGCATCAAAATCAGCCAAGATTATGATTCAAAATTATCCGCCTACCCAGCGCTCAACACCCATTGTGACGCTGCTACCATCAGAACGGGAAAACATGTTGGCTCTATTTGTCCACAATGTATTATATGAAGTCCCTTGTATTCTCCAAGGGTCTGACTCTCACCCGGGTGTAGTACTAGTGGTAAACTGAGTGCTTTTTAAGCCCGCCCAAGTCCTAAATTAACACCCCAATTGTAATTACAATACAACCATCTCACATAGATGATTCAAAATTATCCGCCTGCCCAGCGCTCAACACCCATTGTGACGCTGCTACCATCAGAACGGGAAAACATGTTGGCTCTATTTGTCCACAATGTATTATATGAAGTCCCTTGTATTCTCCAAGGGTCTGACTCTCACCCGGGTGTAGTACTAGTGGTAAACTGAGTGCTTTTTAAGCCCGCCCAAGTCCTAAATTAACACCCCAATCGTAATTACAATACAACCATCTCACATAGAGATCGTTCCGCGGTACCCTTTGCTAGGTACCTAGTACCGCTTGGGGGGTACCCTTCACACCCGCCCCGCACCCGTCGGGAGGTGCCAGGTGTGGTACTTGGTACCTATTTTTGTGAAAAATTGAACAGGTACCTAGGTACCGCAGCACCGCTACAGGTACCTCCTCACTTCCCTACCAAAATGACTGGGCCTTCTACTCCAAGGACTCCAAGAAGGTACCTTGGCTACATGGAAACAGGGACTCAAGGATAACAAGAAGTCTAACCAAAAATCAAAAAGGAAGGTGATAGTTTTGGACAATGATGAAGATTCTTCTAATAATCTAATTAGATATAATTTGTAGACAGTTTAAGCTTTAAAATAAATTATTAAATGTGAACAAATGAAAAAATTGACTTGGGATTGATGTTTTACAATAAATATGAAAAAAGGCAAGATTCTTCCCATTAGATGTAGATACTTGACAACAAATATGAAAAAAAATGCCAAAAAAGTGACTTGAGTAATATTTTACAATAAATATGAAAATAATAATAATAATGAAGTAAGGTTCTTCCAATTAGTTTAAGATGTCTTACAACAAATATTACAAAAGGAAAAACAGTGACTTGGGAATGATATTTTCAATAAATATGAAAATATAATAACAAAGTAGGATTCTTCCAATTTGTTGTCAACATTTCACAATAAATATGAAAGAATGGAAAAAAAGTGACTTGGGACTGATATTTTACAATAAATATGAAAAAATAATAATAAAAAAGTGACTCGGTAATCTGAAAGTGAACCTAGGTTAGAAAGAGAGGGGAGGTACCCGCGGTACCCGCCAGGAGGTGCCTGGTGCGGTACTTGGTACCTATTTTTTGAAAAAATTCAACAGGTACCTAGGTACCAACAGGTACCCGAGTACAAACGAACGATCTCTAATCTCACATGAGACTTGGATTTTTTTTTGGTCAAGAATTAAGATCTTGTAGGGGGGATACATAAATTGGATTCTGGGAGCGTTCTAGGTTGGGACGGGAAGTCATCCACTATTACCTATGCCGTGGCTACGTGGTCCTGTGGCTTCATGGGCGGGTACCTGCGGGACTAATTTGTCCCTCCCGACACAGAGGACCGACTTCCTTAAGTTAGAATTAACATTGTGGATTCAGAAATTAACGGCAAATATTGAGTCAACAACCCCCAAGCCGACGCGGTCCGGTCGCGTGGACTGTTGATTGACCCCTCAAATGGGGGTCGCTTTTGTAATACGCGTGGACTGTTGATTGACCCCCCAAATGGGGGTCGCTCTTGTAATATGTTGGCCCCTTAATGATTGAGTCCTTGACAGCTCCGCTGTCCAATGTGCTTAAGCTTAAACACCACAACACACACGTTATAGATTCGACAAAAGTGTTGGAAGTAAGGTGGGCAGGCAACAAGGGATTTTGCGGAATCGAGGAAGAGTTGTGTGGAGTGGCATGATGCAGGTCTGGAGATGGTACATATTGTATTCTTATTGACCTAGAAGAAACGCAAATGTAAAAAACAAAAATTCCGACAAAAGAGCCTAGGAGTAGGAAGGATGGCGCAAATATAAATCAGAGCCATCTGATGATAGCTCAAATGCTCTCTCCACTTGATCCTCGGTTGGCGAACATAACCCCAGGATCAGGTCGAGATTGCCATTAATGCTTTCCTTGCTTGGCAATGTTTGGGATTCAATCCTGATTCAGCGGTTGCTTTATCCGGCGCTCTTGCAACGCATCCGTCTTGTCTTTTTCAAAAAAAAAAGAAAGTCGGTGGAAGTCCTATTGTGGCATCTTGCCCGAGGTTTCGTCTGGTCACAAACCCCGCTACAAGGCATACCGGACGGGCCAGGGGGAACACTTTCTGGCCATGATCATCTCGCTTTAATGTTTTTTTTTTTCCAAAAGCTTTCATGAGTTGAATCAACATGAGTTATAAGGTACCGTGAGTTCCCATTGCCAAAGGAGAAAATGAAACGTTTTGTGGATGATTCTGAGCGGAGTTTCGGTCTGCCTTCACAATTAATCAATCTGAAGAAGCGCCTGCCACGGCGGGCATATTCGATGGTCAAATCTCACATCAGGGATCAAGCCTCTGATGATCGGATGCTTCAACGAGCACAAATGGCTACGCAACTTGGCGGATCTTTAATTCATTGTAGGGCCTCATTGTTGGGGTTGCGTCGCGGCCACACCGGCTCTTCTTTGGTTTTTGTTGAGACCGTTTCATACTTGGCCATCTTGAGTATCTTGAGGGATTACTTTGGTCCGTTTGGGCCTTGGGTGAGGAAGTGTTTCAGAGGGCTTCCGATGGATGATTGATTATGTAAGCCAGGATGAATCTGGTTTGAGTTGTGGTTGATTATGTCATCAATCAATTATTTTATTTATGTTTTGCTTATCACCCTCCTCCCTCCTGCCTCATCTCTCCTTCCTCTTCTTTCCTTTCCTCAATTTCTTCTGATTGATTCCCTTGACTACACAGCAAACGAAAACCAACAGACAAGCAAGCTACCGATATACTCACGAACCAACCAAGATGATCAAACCAACCAAACTCACCTCAAATCTCATCCTCAACTCCCGCCAAAACATCAAACTACCCTCCATCCTCAACCTACACCATCAAACACCAGCATCACCATCACCATCACCAACTTCTGCCTCAGCCTCCTCTTCATACTCCCACCGATCAATCTCATCCACAAACTCAAAATCAAATCTGCCTCGTCCAAACCCTGCACCCGCATTCCAACAGAAACCATCAACCCTCACCACTCCAACTCCCACCCCTCAACCTCTCAACCAACAAACCTCTATCATCAATGGAGAGGTCATGGATCACAGCTTCATAGGGATGAGTGGGGGGCAAGTAAGTCATACTGACTTCACTCCCCCCCAAAAAAAATCAAAATCAAAAAATACTAAAAAAAACCTATGCATCTCTCTCTCTTGCTTGTCCTGATTTGCTTCGGTAGATTTTCCATGAAATGATGCTGCGACATAATGTTAAACACGTCTTTGGATACCCTGGTGGCGCCATTCTCCCGGTCTTTGACGCCATCCACAACTCCAAACATTTTGATTTTATTCTACCACGTCACGAGCAAGGAGCAGGACATATGGCCGAAGGGTATGCACGAGTATCAGGGAAGCCAGGTGTGGTCTTGGTAACCTCAGGACCGGGGGCCACAAATACGATCACCCCACTGCAGGATGCCTATAGTGACGGGACGCCGTTGATCGTGTTCACCGGACAAGTGGCAACGAGTGCGATCGGGAGCGATGCGTTCCAGGAAGCCGATGTGATCGGGATTAGCCGCAGCTGTACCAAATGGAATGTGATGGTCAAGGATGTCACCGATCTCCCTCGCCGGATCAACGAGGCCTTCAAGATCGCCACCTCCGGTCGTCCCGGCCCGGTCTTGGTCGACCTCCCCAAGGATATGACCGCCGGCATCCTTCGAACACCCATCCCACTCAAATACACCCAGCCGGACCTCATCGAGCGCGTCCTGCCTTCCAATCCCCTCCGATCTCGTCCTTGGTCCTCCTCTCCTGATCAAACTCCCAACTCGAAATCATCCTCATTCGAAACACGCGAGCTACGCCAAGCCGCTCAAATGATCCTCAACGCCAAGCGCCCGGTCATCTACGCCGGCCAGGGCATCTTATCCTCTGACGATGGCCCAAAACTCCTCAGACAACTTGCCGATCAATGGAACATCCCCGTCACCACTACCCTCATGGGAATGGGCGCATTCGACGAGGAGGACCCCAAGAGTTTACACATGCTTGGTATGCATGGCTCGGCCTATGCTAACTTGGCTATGCAAGACGCCGATGTCTTGATCGCTCTTGGAGCTCGGTTCGATGACCGTGTGACCGGAAAAGTCAACAGTCAGTTCTCCTCCCCGCAGAATTTCTGGAAGCAAAAGAGGGAATAATGACTAATGAATCGTCCCTATCTTGTAGCCTTTGCACCACATGCCCTGGCCGCCGCCCAGCAGGGAACAGGAGGGATCATCCACTTCGAGATCCAGCCGAAGAACATCAACAAAGTAGTCGAAGCAACGTGTTCGGTTGAAGGGGATGTGATCCAGAGCTTGACTCACCTCCTGAACATTCTACCGGCGAGGTCGAGTCCACCTGAGCGGAGGGAGTGGCTTGAGACGATCCAAGGATGGAAGGAGAAGTACCCATTCGTGTACGAGCCGTCGGAGAGCAGTGAAGCGATCAAGCCGCAGGAGGTGATCGAGGCGCTCAATGACTGGTCCAAGGCCGTCCCAGGGCGGAAGGACAAGCTGGTGATTTCCACCGGGGTTGGGCAACATCAGATGTGGGCCGCCCAACACTACCGTTGGACCGCCCCTCGCTCGATCGTCACCTCCGGGGGACTCGGAACGATGGGATACGGCCTGCCCGCCGCTATTGGAGCTAAGGTCGCTCGTCCTGATCAGTTCGTCGTCGATATCGATGGCGACGCTTCTTTCTCTATGACCGCTATGGAACTCGCAACCGCTCATGAATTCAATATTGGCGTCAAAGTTATCGTCTTGGATAACGAATTTCAAGGTCTGTCTCGAGTCCCCTCTAACAACATCCTACTTAACGGTGCTTCACGTTGACTGTTCCTTCTCTTTCTCTCTGTCTTATAGGTATGGTCCTTCAATGGCAAGATCTGTTCTACGAATCAAGGTTTGTTCTGAACCTTCCCCCCACCACCATCCTCACTACCAGCCCTTCTAAAAACAACTCCTTATACATCTGATTAACGTTTTGATTTATTTTTTGGTAACAGATATTCTGGGACTAGGATGACGAATCCGGATTTCGCTCAATTGGCCAAGGCGATGAGATGTCATGCGATTTACTGTGACCAGAAGGACGACTTGAAGGCCAAGATTGACGAGTTGATGGCTTTTGATAACTCCAGACCGGTCTTGCTTCATGTCAAAGTCACCGATAAGTTCGTCCCCCCACCTTTGTTCATTTGAGAGATGTTAAGTGATATTGATCTGGTTTTCGTCCCTTTTGCTTGGTTAGGGAACATTGCTTCCCTATGGTTCCGGCTGGAAAAGCCTTACATGAACGTAAGCTATCATAACCTCATCCATCATCTCTTTCTTGAGTTGTGTTGATGTGTCTTGCTTTTTTTTTGTTGGGTTCAACAGAAATCTTACATCCAATCCTCAGGAAGAAGACTCCTTGAAGATTTCCTATTTTTTTAGTCCTCAACTCAAACTGAATTCAAATTAAAGAAACAACACCTTTCTTTCTTCCATTCATTCTTTGTCATTTTTTCATTCATTTTTTTCATTTTTTCTTTTTCATTGCTATGTTGTTCATTTATTCATGGCACATCATCCATCATCTCCTTTGGGGAGTTGATAATGATCACCATGGGTAATATGATTCAGCATGAAGGATGTGTGTTTTAGAACAGTTCTTTTTCCCCTCCCTTTTTCTTTTTTCTTTCTTTCTTTGTTTGTTTGGTCATTAGATGGTGGGGATACAGAGAGAGTGTGTGTGTGTGTGTGTGAGTGTAACCACAACATGATTCTCTTCAAGTTTTAGCTCATGGGAAATACATCAGTTCGATACATTTTGTCAAGCAACTTCAATCCTAGATCCTTCAGAACCTCCACAACTTCTCTCAACTTGTGGTCATTTGTGAAGATAAGTTTGAGTAGACCAAGGCTAAAAACAGGTATATGAGTATCTCTGCTGCTCTTCCTTTGCACAAGGATGTTACTTGGGCCAAGTGTCCAATGGGGGTGGCCTGGATCCATGTGGATTTGGGCACAGGCTATGCAGCCATTTTTGGGAAAAAAGTGCTCTCATCAGCATGGCACACCAGAGCTGACTCCTGGGTTGGGATCTGACTGGCTTCCCATGGAGATATCCCAGATGGGGCGACTGTCATTCATGTTGATGCACTGTTGCAAATGGAGTCCCTGTTCAACCCCAGCAGGGCCCATTGGAATTCACTGCATCAGCCACAACAACATCTAACCAAAGGTGGATTATTTTTTCCTCCAGGAAAAAAAAAAATCAAGAGAGGCTGGCAAGGATGACAAGCCTCCACAAATATCTGTTTTGCAAGGTCCAACACAAGAGGCATGGAGGTGTGGTGATGGTGATCAGAGAGGGATGAGTGGATCACATCTGGGAGGTGAACTGTGTAGGTCATTCCGGGTTTCACTGCCCCCCCCCACAAAATGTTTCCGGGGTTGATCTGCAAGACCGTTGGAGGGCAAAACATGGACCTGAGCAGTCATATTTTGGCCCCCAATGGCCCAATCACAGGTCTGCTGGAGTTGCTCTTACAACACAGGGGGAAATGATGTGTTGGTGGGCTTGGCTGATATATAATCAGTCAGGGAGACCAATATCACATTGGTTGCTTGCCTCAGGTCAACCTCACCACAGGGGTGGGTTTCAACCAATGCAACCCCGTTGGCAGTGTCTAGCTTAAAATTGGGGACTTTCTGCCCACCCCCCTACCCTTCTTTACATTACTGAAATACTCCATTCAGTAACCACTTCATGGTGCTGAGGTGTGGTCTTGAACCAGAAGAAATGATTCTTGTCATCTTCACATTGCTGTTATCCCTAACATAACTAACCTTTGTTGCTTGTGAGGTCTGTGTGATCAGTAAGATGTTTTCAAGGAGGCCTGCTCAAAGATCTTACTAAATCCGGAATTGTAATAAAATTATGGCACCTTGTTTAAGTGCACTCACATTATTCCCACAAAAACATCTGAGAAAGAGAAAAAAAATCAACGTGATTGAGAAGAAATGAAACAAGATACAAGCAAAGAAATTCATCTCAAGTCTCAAAGTAAAATTCTCTCAACTGATCTGGATGATTTTTATGATACCAAGTGGCCAAAAGAAATAATGAAACATTAATCATATTTGGGTTATTCAGGTCCCCTGAAAAGAACTGTAGAATTTTCAGTTGAATCTCACCAAATGAATTTGGTGAGACCCCGGAATTGCTAAACCAAGGTGCAATAGATCCAGGAGCTTCAACGGATCCAATCAGAGGAAGACTGCCCTCAGGGTGAATCATTTCTCCGAGAATGAATCGACACACATTCATTCTCCTTGCAAAGTACTCTGAATCTTCTATGCCAAGTTTATTAAGAACTACAATATGCAAAAAATCCATCATTTTCAGCATTGTTCGAAATCTTTGACATGAATTGCTCAGTGGAAGCAGGGTTCCATCTTTTGAGTTTATGAGTCTTAATGGCTTCAGATGAGAGCTTTCGTCATTGAAGCACATTGCTATGTGTTGGTTTGGATAATAGCTCTTACAGCTTCTCGGCTTGATGATGCTTAAAATTTGAAGTCGCCTCTTGAATTGCCGAATCAAAGGTTCAAAAAACGCCTCGTCCTTTCCGGGGAAATCCAACCTAACATTTTCCAATATGCGGTTGAATGAGCTTCCAGCCAAGCTCGTCAAAATCTCCAAGATTTCCCGGAAATTGGGTTCCATAGACATCTGTTTTGTGTTTCTTGTAGTAGTGTTAGAAAATTCGAGTAAGGCTAAATATTCCTCTGATCGATGATCCAACATCGTCAAATAAATTTAAATTCAGGTTCATGATTTGGGAGTCATCTCATTAATGGGACTGAATCCAGCTAGATTTACTCACTTGCATGGTGATCTCGGTACCGGTTTAGAAGGTAAGAAGTACAGGATATCGGATTGTAGCGCTCCTCGGAAAAGTATTTTATCAATTCTACTTGAATCTCTCCAATGTGTACCTCCAAAGTATCTGACTGCCAAGGTAACTCGGGTCGATCCACGGGCCCCAGTAGAGCAAGACCACGCTGAGGGGAAAAAAATTCTTTCTCGAGCCATTCAAATAAATGCTGTTGCTGTTTTCTATGATAGACTATTGGTATGTTGAGGAGCATTAAGAATTGACCATGGAGTTTGAAAAGCGATGCTGCCAGACGAGTGTACAACGTCAATAACCGTTCAGCAGACTGTTGGCGGGTCCCTTTGTGATGGAGGACTCTGGTTATTTTCTGCTTTACAGTTGCCCGATAGACCCGCGCAAAACTTAAGGTTGGGTGTTTATCGATTGTTCTGGAGTTGCTGGCATGGCACTCCTTGGAATTGATCCTTTGACGAAAACGCTCGCCGAAGGTGTTGAGCAGTTCGTCGCTAAGAGCACCGTTCGATAAGAAATAACCGTAATTCCAGTCCTCCGGAGTAATAGTAGGCAAACCTGGCAATTTTGTCTCGATCGGAGCAGGATCCACGCGGTCTGATGGCTGGCCGAGCTGTGACCCTCGACTGGAGAGCTGACTAGCTGTTGAAAGAGAGAGAGTTGTGCATTAGGAATCACTCCCTGCTCTGTTCAACAGTAACTTCTCTAACCTGAGTTATCGTTACTTCCGATAATAGATCGGCTTATTGTTTTATTTTCATGCACTGATCCATCCACTCTGCTCGTTGCTTGGGCCGCGTGAACCCCGCAGTGGTAGGGGTCGAACTCTTTTTCGGCTATGAATCTGGGGTTGATAAATTCTAATGCTATGCCTGAAGCCTCAGTTCGATTCGAAGTTCAACAGGATACATGACCGGAGCTCACCTGAGCTTGAAAGTCCGCCCTCAGCCTGCGACAGGCGAGCACGCCTTGTAGGAGGGATGAGGCTCGAAAGCTGCACTGGATGAACCGTTCTCTTTCCTGGGAATATTTCGGATGCCACGCTCGGGATTGAACGTATTGTCGGCCTTGTAGAAAATCTAACTTCATTCGAGCCCTCCTCTGCCCCAGGAAGCGTGTTCAAGTCAATCATCATAGGCGGGGCTGCCAACACCACTGTGAAGCAGAAGATGTGAGATCGGAAGGAACAACGCTGAAGCATAGTAAGGACAAAAAAAACTGGCGGGCCAATCGACTAGTTCCTATCATCAGCCACCGAGGCATTGGCGGTGGTTAATCAATACCCAAATCAACTGCGAGCTTAACAAAGCATCTCTTGGAGAGCCCCCCCCCCTGCCCATCGGCAGCGACGGTGTGCGAGCAACAGGCTTTTCATATTATCGTTGTCTGACGAGTTGGGGAACACCTGTGCAATGAAACTCAAACCCCACAATCGCCGAGTACAAGACTGAGTCCCAAGATACAACATGATCTTCAATCCGCAGACAAAGGCAAAGTGACCAACCTTTGTCCATGCCAATGGAGACCTGGGCAAAATTGCAAATCCTTTTTCCAAGCGGGGATAGGGTTGCCGCCAACTTAACTAAGTCCCTGTCCCCCTTTGTCCCACTGGAGGGAGTTATGTAGTTAACAGGGGTTGGCGGCGCCGCCCTTGAGCCAAGGCGCGCCTTTTCCAGGCCCTCTGGGGCGCGCCAATTTGATGCTGCATGGGACTAAGATGCAGAGGACATAGTTGATTTTCCTCTCTTTTGGTGTAGTTGTTTTTGTTGCCTATTAGTATCAAGAAGGCAAAAAAAACTCAATCAATTTCAATTATTGGGGTAGGGTAGCACTTGAAAATTTCAATTTAAATCTTGCAATCGGGAGTTTTTTTTCTTTTCAGGGAACTCTAATTCATGAGGCTCAATCGGGTAAATGAGGAACCAACCTGTTTAAAAAAGGGTGGATTTTTTCAAACCAGTCAATTAAATATAGGTGGATTTGGTTATATTTGATACCCCCTATTGTATTTTATTGTTTTTTTTTTTTTTTTTTTTCATCAAAACAAAGCCGCCAAGTAAGGTACTGGCTTCAGCTTTGTCAACAACAGTCACATTTTTGGGGTCTCAATAATGGGAGACACTCTGTTACATCATGTATTTCCTGGAATTTCATTGATACACGGTGTGACACCTTTTATTTTGCTGTATTGTCATGGATTGTTCTTGAAAGGTATGCTGATTTAGAAAACAACACTGGTTTGACTTTAAAAAAACACAGCAATACACTCCAAAATTTTGGCCCAATGTTGTAGTCAATTGTTACGACCCACCAAAAACCTTTGTTGACATTCTGGAGGAGCTGCCAAATATGTAAATGGGAAAGCCTCCATTATCACAATATGATTCTATCACTTTAACGGAAACAATTCAAGGGTTGATCACAGATTTTCATGAAAAAGGTATGTTTGATATTCTTATGGTGATGAAATCAACCAATAGCTGGCTTCAACAGGATGTTTTATGCACATTGGCAGACTCACATATGACTGGGAACAAATTGTTTTTTCTGTCTATCTCCCCATATTAGTCTCAAATTTTGGCTATCAGAAGAGAATTGGACAGAAAATTTGAATTTTGAGAACCATGCTAGTGGCTGGCTTGAAATTGACATTTCAGCAGAATGTTAGATTTAAATTCCATTGAAATTGAGAAAAAAAAGCAAGTGAAGGCATTTAATGTATAAATATTCCAGAAAATTTCATTGAAGATCTGCTAAATTTGAACCTTCATAAGACTAAAAGTTAAGCAGGGGTAGAGACTTTCTTATACGGAGGCTTATCATGATACCAAGCGGCCAAAATAAATACTGGGATATCTACCATATTTTCATCGGTCAAATCTTCTGAAAAATATTTTATGATTTTTAACTGAAGTTCTCCAAACGATTTTGATCCTTGATAGGACTCACTGAACCAGGGGGCGAGACCGTCCCGAACTTCAAGACTACCCACAAGAGGAAGGCTGTCTTTAGGTTCAATGATTGAGTCATACAGAAATTGTATCAAAGACCCTCTCCTTGGGAGTGTCCGCCCTTCCACTTTCAGCATCTTCAAATATCTGATGTGCAAACGATCTAATGATACCACTAGTCTCCTAAACCTGGGACCTGCAATTCTTATATCAAGAAGCGACCCTTTCCCAACGTTCACCATTCGCAAGGGTTTGATATCAGGCTGGTTTTTCTCAAAACAAATACATATGGGGACGCCTGGATAGTAACTCCTGACATTTTGTTTAGTCTCGGTTTCTGACTCGTGGAAAGCTTCTTCAAACTGTTCGAGATAAGGTGACAACAGGGGGTTGTTTCGTATTCCAGTTTTTTCGTTTCCATCTCCGGGGATGTCATTTAGTATCACGTCTTTGGCCACATTTGATATATACGCTAGAATTTTTCTGAAAGATTTGTTCTTCGACAATTGGGTTGGGTATTCAAGAGTTGCACTTGAAGATTGGTATAATGCTAGATATTCTCCTGATGTAAGCGGTAAACGACACAACGTGAGAAATTTAATCCAAGAGAACAACAATTAGTGACTGCTCGCTTCAGAGATAATTCGTCTTTGTAATTGTCGGTTACGAAGCGATCGACTCACTTGTGTGTTCAGCTAGGTACTTTTCTAGCAGAAGAGAGGTGGAATCGATAGGATCCGTGCGTTTCTCGGAGAAGTATTTTAGTAATTCCAACTGGATCTCCCCATAAATAAGCTGGGGATCATTTGAATTCCAAGATAAAGATGGTCGAGGGGCAACTCCCAGCACAGGATGTCCTGTACCAGGTGTGAAGATCTCGATTTCCAGCCATTCAAGCAATTTTTCTTGTTGCTTCCTATGATTCAAGATTGGTGTTTTAAGCTTCATTAAATAATTTTCGTGATGGTGGTAGAGTGATGCTATCAAAATATTGTACAGCTTAAACAGTCGGGGTGACCGTTGAGTGGACGCGCTGTCATGATGCAAGACCTTGGCTAACTTTCTCTTCTTTGTCACACGCGAAACCTCGAGCCGCGCGCAAGGCAAGGACAGGTGGTAATCGAGATTAGCCGTCATTTTGGTCCGGCATTCTTCTGAATTGATTCTGTTGTAAAAACTGTCACTGGATTTCGCAAGGAGTTCCTCAAGAATGTAACCACCTGACAGGAGATGAATGTAATCATTTTTATTCCATTTCTTCTGCCCGAGGACAGCCAACCCGGGCAAGTCGGTTTGCGAAGGTGCAATATCCCGGCGATCCGATGGTTGAGCGGAGGATTGAGACTCTACGCAGAGAGAGAGAGAGACGGAAATATTCAGCCGATTGAAGCGACTTGAATAGACCCTTAATTAAGCCCAATCGTGAACTCTGCTAACCTTCACGAGCATTAGTACCAGTGATGGATGGGCTTCTTGCAGCCACCGATTTATCTGCGGTAGTTGATTCATGACCATGACCACCGCCAGAGTGCTTGGGGTACAAGTCGTTATCGCGGGTTGACCTTGCGTCGATAAAATCTGTTCCAGAGGTTTCGGGAACAGTTCACTCTTGGTTCGAAGGTCAACAAACTAAGCGACACCTTACCTGAGCTAGAGGGGCCAGCCTGATCATAAGGTAGACGCGCACGGCTTTTCGGGAGACTAGGGCTCGATTTTCGCTGCGCTGGGAGTATCTCGGTTGATCTGATATTCGGAATGGGTTGGAGCGTTCTTGGTATTGACGCTCCATCGCACCACTCTTCCGGATCCCTTGTCAAGTCGTTGATCATCTGACATGATATCAAAACAAAAGTGAGGCACAATGCCAAGTAAAATTGGAAGGAACGCCGCGGAAGCGTAGTAACAAGAATCATTGAGGTGCGATTAGCTGGCGATTTCTGCGTTGACTGCCCGGGGCATGAGGCTTAACAGCGATGAACTCTGATCCAGTTGGTGGATGGCAGTGGTACGGGGATTGTGCAGGCTGGCCGCTGTCCCCAGGAACCTACATACCTCCTGCATCTATCCAGCTTGAAACCGACATCAAGAAATCTTGAAGCTTGTCTCAAAACGTCCATTCCAAAACTTGCTTTGCAATGTGTGATTCAATGTGACCTTCGAACACCAAGTGAATGCAACATAGTCAATGTGAGCGCGAAGGGAAGGTAACGGCTGGTAACGGGTTAAATTTCAACCGGGCACAATGGAGGACTTCCCTTCGAGTCTGGGCCCTAGAACTACTGTGAATTTTTCTGTCAGATGAGCCAGCTTTGGGCACTGCTTGTGGATAACTTCCAGCAATGTAAGATATATTCCCATTTACCCTGCCTGCATTATCATAGCGAAAGGTTCTCCCACACAACTGGTTGAGGTGGCTTCGGCCCCACCAACTCAATCCCTGGGTGACTGGATCGTATCACGCCCCTGTTGCTCACCTCCAAGGCTCAAGCTGTGCCCGATAGGTTCTCGAATATTGCATTTGCTTCTTTGAGTTTTCACTATAAGATGCAACGTTTTTTGGCTTGTGGATGCAAGAGACCATCATCAAGTTGCAACCCAGCGCACACACCCAAAAGTAGTTTCCGTTCTTACATAGTTCGCCGGGATTAGGATTTCTTCGCAGTTTCTTCCTACTCGTCCGAGTTCAATTTAATCTTACACGTCTGCAAAAATAACTCCATTGTCCAATTGTGTTGTGTCGTTATGCAGTTCTTAAAATCACTCCTACTGATGTCAATCATAACTTTCCGAATTGCAATCGCGAATCAAGCATACGAACAGGATCACCAGAAGGCTTTCAGATGCCCTCGAGTAAATCGCGAATCGTTGGACGAGCGGATAGCAGTTTGCGGCGGAGTCTCCAAAACAGACCCAAATAAATATGAAAGTCAGTCTCGCGTTAACCGATCTATCCTCCCTATGAATCAATTTGTATGTAACCTTATGAAAACGACATGACTTATTTGTTCAATCTCTTTCCGATTCTCGAAAATTCAACAGTGACCGAAGCCAACACAGTAGTAGATGACAAAAGAGCTCACAATTGCATCGGGGCCCCCTTACAAGAAATGCGATGTTGCCGAAAAGGCGCATTCAAATTTCCGCAAAACGTGAGCACTATTCCATGTGAACACTTCTTTCAACTCTCTGATTCACTAATTACTTCATGAATACATCCAAATGTCCACATAATCCCATTAATAGCCAAAGCACGGATTTAAAACAATAACTGTAGACTTATCAGCAACCAAAGATGACTTCAATTGTGTTGCAGGAAGGCAAGAGGGTGCCCATGCCTAGATGAAAGTTTCGTTAGTGGAACTTTTTAATACAATGCCTCATGTCCAAAACCAATCTGCTTTTTGATGCATAGTGTCTGCTTCCTTACCGTTCAACTTTCTTTGTGTGAAACTGAATGAATTGTAGATCTGCCAATTGTAATTGCATTCCTTGTGTTTCTCTGTGATTGTTCATATTACAAAATCTGACACTGGTAATCCTTTTCATATGTTGATCAGGGGGAGGAATTCTTCCCATTTAATCATGCTGTGAACCTTGTTTGACCCAAGGGAGTTGATCCCAGTTGGTAAGGTTTTACAACCTGATCAACCAGTTCCTCTTTCATATATACATTTGTATTGTTACCAACCTGATTCTGAATTTTGAAACAGCTAATCCTATGCACTTCATGATTCTTTGATAGTGAAGTACATGCTTAAGCTGAACCTTGATGAAAGCTACCCTGTTCTGATGCATTGGAAAGTGTTCAAACATTTAGAGTATTTGTAATTTGAAATTTAAGAAAAAAATATGACCAGTAATTCCATCAAGATTGTACCAGATTCAGAACCTGCACTGCTCTATCTTCTTTCCAATAAGTTTTGCTAATTTTTCATCAATATCAGTTTAGTATTGGTAATCAAATTTACACAATTAATTGAAAGATAGATATGTGTCAACCATGAAAAGATTTGAATAATCCATTTCTTGATAATTGTTTGTTCTGAAAAAGGATTTCAAGTAGGATAAGTTGTGACAGTAGAGCATTTTTAGTTAAGAAGTTGTAGCACAAGTCAAAAATATTTGAACAACTCATGTTCTGGATGAGCAGAATGCCAAGCAACCAAAAGAAATGATGGAATATGTATAAGATTTTCATATTTCAAATCTCCTGAAAGATATTGCAAAAGTTTCAATTGGATCTCTCCAAATGAATTTGGTTTTCCATGGGAATAACTGTACCATGGGGCAAAGCCCTCAGGAGATTCAACACATCCCACAAGTGGCAGGCTTTCTTTTGGTTGGATAATTGAATTGACCACAAATTCAAATACAGACTTTCTTCTTTCAGTGTGTTGAGAACTTTCAATTTTCAGTTCCTTCATGGCTCCAATGTGTAGACAGTCCACTGATCTCAACAGTTTTCTCAAAATGGGGCGTACAGCTTTCAAATCATATATCCTCCCGCTTGGTGGGTGGACTATTCGCAGAGGCTTCGAACCAGGTAGGTCACTTTGAAAGCACATCGATATCGGCAAGGTTGGATAATAACTCCTGAGATCTCCTTTTTCAATTTCTGACTCGTGAAACTTTTCTTCAAACATCGAAACATACGGTAAAGCCAACGACATGTGTTCTTTTGCAGTCTTTGATTTTCTATCATTGCTAGGTATGGAATCTATTTTCAAGTTTTTAGCCAGCCTTGAAAGGAAATCTAGGGTTCTTCTGAAGTGTGGTTTTATCGACAATCGATATGTGTCCTCAAGGAATGAGTTTGGGGTTTGCTGCAATGCGAAATATTCCTCTGTTTAACAAGGATTCAAAGAAACATGTGGTTAGGATATAATCGTCTCTGATAGCATCCACCTTGCATTGAAATTGTTGGTTACTAGCAGAGTTACTCACTGGCATGCTGAGCTTGGTAAATGTCTAGTACACGTGACGCGGAATTAATTGGATCGCGGCGCTTTTCAGAGAAGTACTCTACCAATTCCACTTGAATTTTCCCGTAATGCTTCAGCTTGGGGCCACCTGACTCCCAAGTTAACCAGGATTGAGGGGCAATTCCAAGTAGAGGATGACTATAGCCAGGCGTAAAGATTTCTCTTTCCAGCCATTCAAACAGTTTGTTTTGTTGGTTTCTGTGGTGCAGTACTGGTATGTTGATGCGTGTTAAAAATTCGCCATGGAGCTTGTAAAGTGACATTGCCAAAAGATTATAAAGCGAATATAGGCGCCAACCAGGCTGTATGGAGGCTGAATTATGTTTCACGACCTTTGCTACCTTATAACGGTTTGCGCCTGCAACACTCAACCGCGCGCAAGACCACCTCGGATGGTGGTCGACTGAACCCCAATGCCGGGACTGACAGTCTTCCGATTCGACTTTAGCATGAAAACGTCGACTAAATTTACTGAGAAGTTCCTCGACAATGATGCCACGTGTGATCAAGTAGGCGAACTCGATTTCTTTCTGGTCCTTCTGCACGACGACAGGTAAATCCCACACACCATCAACCGGGTGATCTGCTGGCTTTGAGCCACGCCTAGGGGACTGACTGTGCTGACTGACTGTGTGGACAGAGAGAGATGATTCAGCCAATCGAATCGATCGTTGCTTCATAAGCTCAGCCGCGAACTGTGCTAACCATGGTCAAGATTGCTGCCGGTGTTGGATTCGCTTATTCCGCTTCCGATCACATCCACGTTAGTCAATTGGTGGTCACCAGAGTGGTTCGTGTCCAAGCCGCTTTCGCCTGTTAACCTTGCGACAATAGAATCTGCCGACAAGGTCTGAGGAATAGTTTTTTCTTGGTTCGAAGGTAAACAAGCCAAGCGACACCTTACCTTTGCTAGAGAGGCCACCGTGATCATAGGAAAGACGCGCACGGCTTCTCGAGGGGCTGGGGCTCGACAGTTGTACTGGAGGTTGTTTTTGCTTCTTTGGGGGTATTTCGGGTGGAATTGCGTGCAGCGTTATTGGGGATGACGCTTCATCATACCACTCTTCCGGATCCTTGTTCAAGTCGATCATCATCGGGCATGATATCAAGACGGATGCGAAGCACCATGCAAGGTAAAATTGGAAGGAACGACGCTGAAGGGTAGTCACGAGAACCATAGCAATAAGATTCAGTTTGGCGAATTGAAGTCGAAGACATACATCGGTATCCCTGTTAGGCTCTGCAACTATCTGCAACCAGTTCCCTAAATTCTCCACTGCACCTGAATTGGAATTTGGTAAACGGGCCCATGACCTCCGCCCACAGACGCCCTGGGAAGAAACTTTGGGTCATACTTGATCCATCTGGCTTGAATGGTGCACCTCAAAATCTTGAAGCCTGTCTCACATTATGCGACACGCGTGCTTGCTGGAAGACATGCACAATGTATCTTTCTCAAAAAGCTTGAAACCATGATCCAATGGAGCTTTTGGTTTTCTTCTATAATCGCCCTAAGTACATACATTTTGCTGCCGCTTCAAACGAAATTCTAGTTTTCTCAGCCCGCCCACCCGCCTGTAGGGGTTGACTCGTATGTATCTAGAGATCCAGATTGATTGGAACTCAGCAATCCAATGTGAATTTGTTTCTTGGAAAATAGGCTTCTTAATGCCACCCTCATCATAAATCACCCTCCATGATGGCTTCTCTCACATAGCACTTCCCCACAAACATGGGATTGTTCTCTCTTCAATGAGAAGCATGCCACTACTACGCAGCATCCATCAAGGGGTTACTTGATGTTCTCATAGCCTTAGCCAAAAACGTTGTTGCAAGAACCTGTGGGAAAATGTGGCAAATAAGAAGGTTCCATGAAATCTCTGGAACCTTTGCTTATCAAACCTAGAAATCCAGCAAAATAGCAGGAACCAAAAAGATGAGCTGCCTTGGCTCCGCCTGAGAAGTGGTAGGTCTAGGACTCTAGTCAACATGGCACCTTATAGGATTATGTGCATGTCCCAGAAGCCCCTAAGAATGATAACTAGGAGTGTTCAAGGACTGTGTGAAGGAATCAAAAGTCCAAGACTTTGGTGATTTTATCAAGATCTAGTAGAAGTTCACAACTAAACTTCAAACTGAGTAATTTGTGGGCTTGTACAGCTATGGGAGACATTGATTCCCTCAAATTTTGGCAAGTATTGAGTGTCAGTTTGACTTCAGTTCCAATTTTTGTTGACCACCACAGTTCTGTTGACATATATGTCCAGGCACCACATGGATTAGCGGATTGTCCCTCTGAGATTCTTCCCCAGTAAGAAAGCTTCTCATTAAACCTCTTGGATTGCAAGCATTTTAAAAGACCTTTCTTGAAATTAATCAGCCTTTTGGCATTTGGGATTGATGGTGTGAATTAAGGGGGAGTATATATAATCAGGAGCTGTGTATCTGCTGGATTGAGGACAATGCATCTTGACCTGCTTATTATGTTCCAAGGTTCAAATCATGGGAGGCTCTTTCATTTTGGCCCTAAAACTAGGTGATGGCAATATACAGTCAAACTGGTTGGACCTTCCAGGTAAGCTTAATATGGCTCAAAAAAAATCAGAAACCAATTGTGGGTTTGGATTTGACAAATGCATGACAACATTTTAATGAAAGCAAAATACACCAATATTTATGGAAGGAAACCCACTGATATTTGTATTAGTGGGGCTCACAATTACAATTTTCCAGGTGACTTTTTTTCCTCTCCCCCTCTCAGAAATGCTTGAAACAACTATACA